CTCCCGGACTGGCACAGCTTGCTTAGGCGTAGCATTAGGATTTTTGACCTGGACATGGATGCCATTGTAGCGGCCTTGCATGTGATGTATGCTGATGACTCTAGTGTGCTTCCCTCTTATTACCCCGTGTTGCCTAGTGTAGCGGTGCCTAGCGTAGACTCCCCTGCTGCGTCAGGCGTAGGATCTCCTGCTTTGCTTAGCCTTGGTGCTTCCACCGCTTCACTGCTGCCTCGCGCGACTGCTGCGCTTTCCTTCACCTTGGACTCTGGCGCCTCCCGGTGTTTCTTCCGCGACTCCACGACGCTGACGCCGCTGCCTGTTCCCGCTGCAGTTACTCTTGCTGACCCCTCCGGTGGTCCCGTCGTTGCCCGCAGTTCCACCTCCCTTCCCTGTCCGGCGGTTCCTTCGGGCACTCTCACCGGTCTGCATATCCCCTCGTTCTCCAGGAACCTAGTTGGTGTCGGCTGCCTCCAGGACCTTGGCGTCACCACTACGTTCCCTGGTCACGAGCGGTATGCTGTCTGTACCGAGGCCGCCACTGGTGCCCCCCTTACCACTTTCCCCCGGGACCCGGTGTCCGGCCTGTTCACACTTGACACCGCGCCGTCCCCGGCTGGGTCTTCCCCCCCGGTAGTTGCGTCCACCCAGGTTGCAGCCGCGTGCTCCTGTCGGTCCCTCACTCACCCGACTCTCCTTTGGCACCACCGCCTTGGTCACCCTGCACTCCCACGTCTGCGTCACATGTCCCAGCACGGTCTTGTCCTTGGTCTCCCCGGTTCGTTCCCCGAGTTTCCCTCCTCCCCCGCCCCACCGTGCACGCCTTGTGTCGAGGGCCGGCTCCGCCGTGCCCCTCACTCCTCCTCTTTTCCCCCTACCACCGCACCACTGCAGACTCTGCACATGGACGTCTGGGGCCCAGCCCCGGTCCATGGGCCGCGTCGCGAGCGCTTCTTCCTAGTGCTTGTCGACGACTTCACGCGCTACACCACCGTCTTCCCCCTGGAGCGGAAGGCCGACGTGCCTGACGTTCTCATCCCCTGGCTTGTCTCTGCTCGTGTCCACCGCGGTCTCCCTGCCTTGCGCCTTCACTCCGACCGGGGTGGCGAGTTTGCCTCAGGTGTCCTTGGTCGCTTCTGTCGTGCGGAGGGCATCACCCAGACGTTTACCCTGCCGGACTCCCCGCAGTAGAATGGGGTCGCTGAGCGACGCATCGGTTTGGTCATGGAGGTGGCTCGCACCTCCATGATCCACGCCGGTGCACCCCATTTTCTGTGGCCGTTCGCCGTGCGCTACGCCGCTCACCAGCTTAACCTGTGGCCGCACCCCCAGCGGCCGCAGGTTTCGCCGACCCTTCTGTGGACCGGGTCCCCTGGTGACGCGTCTGCGTTCCGCGTCTGGGGCTGCCTTGCTCACGTTCGTGCCTCTGGCACGGACAAGCTCACTGCCCGCACCCTCCCCTGCGTCTTCCTCGGTTTCCCCCTTGACGCGTCCGACTGGCACTTCTACCACCCGCCGTCTCACCGCTTCTTTCACTCTCGCGACGTCACCTTTGACGAGTCCGTCTCCTTCTACCGCCGCTTTCCCCACCGTGGTCCCCCGGTTACTCCCCCCCTTTTCCTGGTTCCTCCCTCCCTGGTGGTCCCTGCCCCTCCCCCCCCCCGCCCCCCCGTCCGGCCCCCTCTGGTGTGTCTCACGTCACCCCCCTCCCGTCGGTCGTCCCGGTCGACGAGTCTTCTGACTCTGGTAGTCCTCCGGCGCAGTCCTCGCCGTCTGTCCCTCCCCCGGTGTCTCCTCCTCCACCGCCTCCGCAGCCGCCGTCGCCGCAGCTGCTGCAGCCGTCGTCTCCACCGCCGCCGCCGTTGCAGCCGTCGTCTCCGCCGCCGCCGCCGTCGCAGCCGTCGCTGCAGCCGCCGCCGCCGCCGCCGCTGTCGTCGCTGCCGCCGTTTGTGGACTCTGGGGGTGTCCCTTCTGGGGGTGCAGGTGTGGAGGGTTCGGGAGGTAGCCGTCGCGCAGCTTGTGGCCCTGGTGTTGGTGTTGTGTCGCCGCAGCAGCAGTCCCCGCCTGTGTCCGCCCTCCGTCTGCTCGGCCTTCCGTCTCCTGACCCTGCGCCTGTTCCTCTCCTGCCGTCTCCCCCTCTTCCCGTCTACGGCCCCGTGTTCCCTCTGCCAGACTCGTCCCCGGCTCGTCTTCCCCCTCGTTCCCCACCCGTGTCCCCTCCTCTGTCTCCTGACCCGACGCCGCCCTCTCACGTCTGGTCTCGCCGCCCCTCTCGTGCTCGTCCTGTCTCCCCTGTCCCGCGCTCTCACCCTATGTTGCTCCGGTCCCACGCGTCTCGTCCTCCCCTCCTCCCGTCTCCTCCTCCGTCCTCTCTTGTCGTTGCGTCTCCTCCTCTGTCCGACTCCTTTCGTGCCGCTCGTCCTCTTGTTCCTCGGGTCCTTGCCTCTCTCGTTACCGACCCGTCTGTTCCCGTGTCGAGTCTTGACGCCCTCGTCGCTGCGGTCGCTGACTTCGCCTCTACCCGCCGCCTTGACTACGCCACCGCTCTGGTCTCTCACCCTGCCTGTCCTCCGTCTGTCGGGGGTGCTCCTGCCCTCGGCAGTGACGTCCTGGAGGACCGCCAGTTTAAGCTTGCTTTCCTGTCCGAGGCTGCTCCCCATCTCTGTTCCATGCTGCTAGTCCCTGAGGGTGACCCAGACGCTTTCGACATCCCGACCCCTCGTACTTACACTGAGGCGGTTTCGGGACCCTGGGCCTCTCAGTGGATAGCTGCCATGGAGCAGGAGATGGCATCTTGGAGATCCACCGGCACCTTCGTCGACGCAGTTCCCCCACCTAGGGTGAACGTGGTCGATGGCCATTGGCTCTTCAAGGTGAAGCGCCCTCCTGGAGAGCCGCCTGTGTTCAAGGCGCGCTACGTGGCTAGAGGCTTCAGTCAGCGCGAGGGGGTGGACTTCTTTCAGACTTTCGCTCCTACCCCGAAGATGACTACTCTTCGGGTGCTGCTACACGTAGCGGCTCAGCGTGACTACGAGCTTCACTCCCTCGACTTCTCCACTGCCTTTCTTCAGGGCAGCCTTCACGAGCAGGTCTACCTGCGTCGCCCTCAGGGCTTTACTGGCACCTTCCCCCCTGGGACCCAGTGGCTTCTGCGGCGGCCAGTCTACGGCCTGCGCCAGGCGCCTCGTGAGTGGCACGACACTTTGCGTGCTACCCTTGCTGACCTGCAGTTCTTTCCGTCCTCTGCAGACCCCTCGCTCTTCGTTCGTGTTGGCTCGACTCCGTTCTACATCCTCGTCTACGTAGACGACCTGGTCTTTGCCACTGCTGACAGGGACGCACTGGCCTCCGTGAAGGCAGAGCTGCTGAAGAGACACACCTGCACTGACCTTGGAGAGCTGCGCCGTTACCTTGGCTTGCAGATCTCCAGGGACAGAGCCGCGCGCACCATCACCCTGACTCAGTCACACTTGGTGCGCCAGGTCCTTCAGAGGTTCGGCCTTCAGTTCTCCTCCGCACAGCCCACCCCTCTTCCTCTGGACCACAGACTCTCCGCTCCAGTTCCTGAGGAGTCGGTAGATCCCAGTGGTCCTTACGCTGAGCTAGTGGGTTGCCTCATGTACCTGATGACTTGCACTCGCCCAGATCTCGCATACCCTCTCAGCATCCTGGCTCGTTTCGTGGCCACTGGCAGGCACCGACCTCAGCACTGGTCTGCCGCTAAGAGGGTTTTGCGTTATCTTGCAAGTACATCGGGCATGGGGTTAGTGCTAGGCGGACGCAGGCCAGTGGTCCTTACTGGACACACAGACGCTTCTTGGGCAGACGACGCCGAGACGCTCAGGTCTTCCCAGGGCTACTGCTTTAGCCTTGGTTCAGGTGCTGTCTCGTGGAGAGCTACCCGCTCTTCGTCTGTTGCCCAGTCCAGCTGTGAGGCCGAGATCTACGCCGGTGCCATGGCGGCACAGGAGCTCCGCTGGCTGACCTTCTTGCTCACTGACTTAGGTGAGCGCCCTAGCTCTGCCCCGGTCCTGTACGCTGACAACAGGGCCATGATCCTCCTGTGTCAGGAGCCTCGACTCGAGGGCAGAGCGAAGCACATCCAGCTGCGGTACTTCCTCCTGCGTGAGCTACAGCAGCGTCGCCAGGCTCGCGTAGTACACTTAGCCTCCGGTGCCAACACAGCTGATATCTTTACGAAGGCGCTTGCGCCTAAAGATCATCAGCGGCACTGTGTGCAGCTTGGTCTGGTTCCTGTAGTCTCTCACTTACTCGGGCCTTGACTCTGTACTGTCCTATATATCTGTGTGTACACTCAGACTGGACTTGTGTCCTCTTTTAGTGGTTGGACTAGTAGTGCCGCCCTGTACTAGTTCTTGCCTTGCCTGTACTCCTTCTGACTGGTCTTTTAGACCCTTGTCTCAGAGGCTGGACTAGTAGTGCCACCCTGAGCTGCTTGTCTAGAACATTCCCCTATGCAGTCCAGGGGGTGTGTCAAACATGTTTAGTTATCATGCTTGTATAGACTGTATAGGGTCATCTTCTAGAGAGTACAACTGTTAGGTATATGTTTGTGTACTCTCTCTCTCTAACATCATCAATTTTACTGTTTGTTATGGACTAGTAGTACCGCCCGAAGCTGCTTCTTCCCTTGTTAGGCATTGCCCTTATATAGTCTAGGGGGTCTGTCAAACATAACTTATGTTGTTACTCTAGACTATACAGGTTTGTGCCTTAGAGGGTAAAGCACACTAGTGTATATTGCCCTGTATCTTCCTATTCTAGTCATTCTCTCTTTCTAACATTTTGGGCCCTGAAGTGGACGAGCGGCACGAAGGTAGTCAGGCAGAGGAGGCGGGGCGACAACTAGCGACGACAGAGGAGGTGAGTTAAACACCGTCGCAAGACCGAGGGCGATCAAGCCTGATCATTGTACAGCGTTCAGAGATTTCTGAATTTATTGCTTTGTGTGGCGCTGTTAGGCTGTCCAGTTTATAACACAGAGCTAAATTACATGTTTGTTATATATAATTATAGGCTTGGTAGCTGTAACAGCAACCTACTGTAGAGGGCACAGAGGAGTTGCAACGGACTTCGAAATCTGAACCCAAGCTCTTCTACTATGTCATTAATAGTTCTACTTATCAACCAGAATCTCCTAAGTAGGAGTCTACCGTTGATGCTCGCCCTTCGACTTCCCTTATTCTAATTATATCTGATGAAAAGGTGGACTTTGGTGTACCAATAAAGTATTGCGCTCTTGCACATATGTGCTTCTCGGCGAGGGCCTTCAGGATGCCTTTGTCTTCCTCGTCCAGGTCTTCAAAATCTCGCACCCAATCGGACTCCTTATACTCCAAGGAGCCCTTGCTGAATTGAGGAAGCCTCTCTACGATGAACGGAGCTTTTGAGTCCAGCTCTGCATGGAAACGGGCAAAACGATGTGTGAGACATGCAGCGCTACGTCCAAGGCATTTACGCAAACCATCTGACGAAACGACCAAGAAACAGCAACAAACAGGGTCATAAGTTCCCCCATGCACTCACCCAGCAGCAGCTTTTCCAGGAATTGCACTTCAGCCAGGCTTGCATCTGTGGCGAGGTAAAGAATGCTGATGCCACGACCACTCAACCGCGACACAATGTAGCGTGCAATAGAAGCAATTGGCAGGAAAGCCGGGTTCCTGTTCTGCTCCTTCTCCTCATTCCTCAGATAAGCATGCGAAAAATCCCCTCTCCTCATGTGCACTGCGGCAAAATCATCCCCCAAAAAGGTATCAATAAACCCCGAAACAAACTGCCGAACCACTGGTGGCGGCTCCCAGAGGTCCAGGCACGAGGTTCGGAAGGGAGGCTTGGTTTCATGCAGCATCTTTCCGGTCTTGCCGTTCAATAGGAGGCCGTAGATGTTCCCCAGGCTGAGCACCCGTGTGTTGGCATAGGGAGCATATGCAGCACGGAACGAGTTGATGTCCTGACGCCCTGACTCCAGCGGGTGCTCTAGCTTGTCCGGGAGAGTCACGTTGGGAAGCTTGGCGAAGGACTGTCAGTAGGGGGTAGGGAGGTAGCAGACACGGGAGAGAGGGGTTGCTTGAGTCAACAAGAGAACGAAATGAGGTCCTGAGGGGGGAGGGACTCCAGCGGTGCTCTAGCTTGTCTGGGAAGGTGACATTGGGAAGCTTGGCGAAGGACTGTCAGTAGTGAGTGGTGGGGAGGGGGCAGAGACGGGAGAGAGGGAGCATGGGGTGAGTGACGAGGAGGAGAGGATCTTACTCAAGTATACCACGTGGGATTGGGGCGATTGGCGTATGCTTTTTCCGAAAAGGGACAGAGGACGCGATAAGTGGGAGAGTACTCACCAGTTGAATCTCATCCATGCAGGACCTCCCCTCCGCACAGGCAATGTGGTCTACAGTCACATTCTGGTTCGTCCTCGATACAAGCTCCTCCACTGTAAGCACGGTGTTGTTGCCGTACGCGTCAGCCAGACACGCCCTTAAGTGCGGGATGTCGAATATCAAGCTCCACCGCCATCTGTACCACGTCTGGAAGTGGTGCGCGAATCCCGGGTCTGGAACTAAGAGAGTGCGGTTTAGAAGCGCCGCGAAGATTAAGTAGCTGCGCATGCAGACCTCCTGATTGGACAGCCGGCCGTAGAAGCACAGAGCGAGCAAGTAACGATCCTCGCGGGGTTCCCAAGACTCGATCACGTCACTTGGGCCGCCTGAGTTGCCAGAGCTGTTTCGTACGTTGACATCTGCGACGTTCATTGCAATCGCACGCCGCTGGTCTTTTTCCGCTAGAGACTGAAGGAACCTCCTGCTTCGTGAGCTTCTGACCACCGTAGACTCTTCAGTAGGGGGGGGCGAACGGGGAGTAAGGCTCAACTGTGGCTGAAGAGACCACTGCCGTAACCTGTTGATTGCGGATTCCAGTAGGGATGAAGATTCCTGGACAGACGAGGGTTCGTGGACGGACGAATCACTGACGCCATCGTGGACGCCTCGAAGGCGCGACGACGAATAAGCTGTCGCAAGCAGATTAGGCGAAAAGCAGGCGAGAAGGGCGAAGGGGAGAAGCGAGAGGCCTCGTCGAGCCAAGAACTTATGGAGTGCTTGTGAGGCGATTCGCGACGTTCTATGTCGAGGATGGAAACGACTCATTTTGGGCAGTCGCTAAGCCGCTATCCAATGGCGCACGCTTCTGGCCCGTCAAAGTCACTCGTGAGTCGACGGGTACTAATTACAAAGCAAACAAAGTCCGCGATGTCAAGATAGCGACGTCTCTACTTTATGGACGTCAGACGTCTGCAGGCTAGATGAAGAAACAAGAGAGCACTAATGTGAGAGAATCAGGGATGTCACGACCATAATATGATCAGAACAGGTCACGCGCGTTCACAGGTCGAAGACATCTACGAGTGCCAGCGAGACGAGCACGAAACCAGAATCTCCCGAGAACCAACACGAAAAAAGTGTGGAAATTTGGGAATCTGTGGCCCCTCAGGATTAGTTGCCAGTGGGCCTTGGGAATGGCTTCAGGAAATAGCTGGCGCTCTCGAGCACGGCCCACCATACTGATCCGACGGCCGTCATGTCTTCGCTTTACGAATCGAACGATGACCCGTGAAGCTCAGTTTCGAGCACCCTGACTGTCAGGTGTGGTTCGCCTGGAGTGTGGCCGCAACTGGTGCGACTCGGGAGGAAGTTGTTGTAAGGAATTAATAATAATCCTTACTGAGCTTGCTACAAAGCGTACGACTCGAACAGTCCCGAACCAGCGATAGGCTTCCAGACCTTTCAGTTCGAGCCTCCTGGGCCATTCCGGACCTCGCTTCGACACATCGAAGCCCTTCGACACCTTTCCCGAACCTTCCGATCCTACGTCCAGGATCACCCTAGGCTTCCTATATATTGTGTTGTCTTTCATCTTATTGTCATTCACTGGTTCACAGTTTCGCCATTACCCTCCGCGCTACTCGGCAGTTCCATTCATAACAGTTGTGGTCTGCTGCAACAAGGTTGTAAACCGCGGGAAAATGACTCATACGCAAGCCCTTCGCAATAATAATTCTTGTATATCTCTAAGAGGATATGAACATCAGCCCTTGTGCACGTCATTACTTAGGGCGCCATACAGAAGCAATGCAAAAGCAGTTCTACTACCATAACATTCTGGACATACAATAAATACAAGGTATCCTAGGTTTTTCACACCCACTGTACGATATCCACAGCCAACAAACAGAAACAGGCTTCTGTCTAGAGCCACTGCAAGCGGCTCCCTTGCTCACAAGAAAGATGAAGCAACCTTTGGTTTGGTGTCAGGCAATACCTCAGCATCACCTTAGGCCAGAATCAACCACTTTACCACCCGCCCAACCCCGATGCAAGCTTTCCAAACATTACAAGCTGCAATGCACCCACCCACCCAGCCCACACACACGTCGAACCCTCCTAACGAGGTCCGGAGAGGTTGAACGCATCCAGCGAGATACCCGTGGTGGTATTCTCCCAAATCGCAGGTGTGTTGACCACAGCCATGACATCCTCCCCAGACATCTTCGCTGCCTCCTCCTGCCACTTCTCCCACTTGTCAGCCAGGGCCTTCCCGGAGAGCATCTTTGCCACCTCATCCATGGTCGGGCGGTCCACTGCGTCATGCTTCATGCAGAGTAGTGCCACCTGGAGCACCTTTGCCACGTCAGCCTCGTCGTAGCCCAGCCTGGTGAGGTCGTTGTCCACGAATTCAGGAATCTTGCCGTCACGCAGCATGTTGGCGATCTGATGGGGGGGAATAAGATTAATGGGATGCATGCAGAAATATATGAAGAGGATGCATGAGTAACATTGATAAACAGAGGAAGGGAGCATGCACATAACAAGAATTCAGGGGTCATGCCCGTTGCGCAGCATGCTGCAATCTGGAGGGGGGGTGGATAAACGCATGGCGCAAGTCAGACGATCCCATACTCAGTTAAAAATCGGCGAATAAACCACCAAGCGAAAACTCACCCAGTCACGCAGCAACAGCTCCTCGGCTTCGGGCGGCAGAGTAAGCTCAAACACGTCCTTGCCCGAGACGAGCTCCAGCAGGAAGACCCCAAAGGCATACACGTCCGTCTTCTCCGAGCACTGCCCCGACACAAAGTACTCTGGGGTATCGAGAAGGGGGAGAGGCCGGGGGGGTGTGCGGAGGGGGAAGGGGGTTTTAAAACACTGTTGCTCATAATGTTCTGGAGGAGGGTGGGTGGGTGGGTGGGTGTATGAGCGCGGTAGAAAGCAGTGCGCCCAACGGTTTCCTAAACAGCAGTAGAAGCATGGTTCTCATGCATGCCCAGCTCCTTGGTCAGCCAAAAGTCAGCAATAACCGCAATCCCTCTCACCCCCCATATAAGCCGTCTCACTACAAAGCGCAACACGTACCTGGCGCAATGTGTCCAATGGTTCCCTTGACAGCCGTGGACGCGTGGCTCTCATGCACGTCCATCTCCTTGGCCAGACCAAAGTCAGCAATAACGGCCTCGTCGTTCTCGTCCAGGAGCACGTTGGCCGCCTTGATGTCGCGATGAATGAGCTTGGGGTTGCAGTCCGTGTGCATGTACGCAATGCCCTCCGCCGCCCCCCGCGCCACCTTCATGCGTGAAAGCCAGTCCATGGGGTTGCCCTCCTTGCCTGGCGGAGAACACAGCAGAGCACACACAGAGGGGGGAGAGGAACAAGCAGGTAGGGGAGGGTGAATGACCTTGGGGTTGCAGTCCATGTGCATGTAGGCGATTCCCTCCGCTGCCCGCGCCACCTTCATGCCTGAAAGCCAGTCCATAGGGTTGCACTCCTTGCCTGGCGTTTGGGGCGGGAAGAAAGGAGCGAGGGGGGGGGAGGGGTGGCCACAGTTGAAGACCGATGGAGAGGTGAGCACAGTCCATGGGTTTGCCCTCCTTGCCTAGCTAGAGAGGAAACGAGCTTGCTGCTACCCTACCCGTTTCACAGTGGACGAGAGGCAGACAGGGAGGGGGAAGGAAAGTCACTGAAGCATTGGGATAGCAGGCACCACGCGCATGCAGTCGCGATGTAAATTCTACCCAGATTCACCGCACTGGACCACACCACACAGGACCCACACTGTAACTCGCCAATCGGGTAAAAACCCGCAGATTGTCTCACCTTGAGTGCGGGACGCCACAGAGCCGTTGGCATAGAAGGGCAGCACGAGCATGCACTCGCCCTTCTCCACACAGAAGCCCTCCGAGTGCATCACGTTGCGATGCACGGCTCTGCTGATGAGCTCCACCTCCGACAGGAACATCAACTCTCCACCTGACTTCTTCTCCTCCTGTGGGAGGGAAAAAACAGGAAAAGGGCAACAAAGAGAGGACGGAGCTGTTGAGCACAGAGCCCACAGAGTCAAGCTACTGATCCGCTGCTATCCCAATTCACCTCCCCCCTCTCTCGACCTCTCCTTCCCCATGCTCCTTCACCCGCCTTGATTCTCAACCTCACCTTGATTCTCTTGACAGCGACAAACTTCCCGTCCTCCAGCTTGCCCTTGTACACCTTGCTGAACCCGCCCTCGCCCAGCATGTTGTCCTCGTCAAACCCGTTGGTCGCCTTCGACAGCTCGTCCACTGAGAACCGCCGCAGCGTGCCGAAATGGCGGGTCGAGATTTGGGCTGAAAGGGAAAAGAGGTGGGGAAAGTGGGGGGGAGAGGGGGGGAGGAGGGAAGGAGAGGAGGTAGGGCAGTTAAGGAAGAGGAACGGGGGATATCGGACCCATTGGTGGCCTTGGGCAGCTTGCCCTTGTACACCTTGCTGAACTCGCCCTCGCCCAGCAGGTTGTCCTCGTCAAACGAGTTGGTCGCCTTCGACAGCTCGTCCACTGAAAATCGCTGCAGCGTGCCAAAGTGACGCATCAAGATTTGGCCTGAAAAATAAGGAGTGTTGGGACATTAAGTGGTAGAAAACGTTTAGGAACAAATCGCCAAGACTTACGCCAGTCACACTCGCCCCACACTCTTATCTCAATGTCTCCGCCTCCTCCCTCCTCCCTTCTCTTCCTCCTCCCTCCTCCCTTCTCTTCCTCCTCCTGCTTGAAGCGCACGAAGATAAAGAGCGCCACCAGCACCGCCACCAGCAGCGCCACCAGCACCGCCTACGCTAGCCACACTGCACACTCCCTACCACACTCAACCCCAACCCACAGCCCTAGCCAGTAGCAGACAATTCCATCCCACTCTCTCAATGTCTTGAACGAGCCTCTCCGCCTCCCCCCTCTTCCGTCGCTCCTCCTGCTTGAAGCGCACGAAGATAAAGAGCGCCACCAGAAACGCCACCAGCGCCTATGCTAGCCACACTGCACCCACTACCACACTCAATCCTACTGCCCTGACCCACCCCCACACTCACTCTCAATGTCTTGAGCCAGTCGTTCCGCCTCCTACCTCTTCCTCCGCTCCTCCTGCTTGAAGCGCACGAAGATAAAGAGCGCCACCAGCACCTATGCCAGTTCAAGTTGCCAGTACCAGTGGCAAACAACTCCACCACACTCACTCTCAATGTCTTGAGCGAGCCTCTCCGCCTCCTCCCGCTTCCTCCGCTCCTCCTGCTTGAAGCGAACAAAGATGAAGAGCGCCACCAGCAGCGCCACCAGTGCGAGCGCGCCAAACACGATGCCGATCACGGCGCCCACCCCCAGCCCCGACGACGCAGGAGGAGGGGCGACGGCAGCAGTGTAGTTGTCGGGGCAGCTCTTGTAGGGCACTGGGGGAGGAGGAGGGGAGGAGGGGAGTGGGCGGAGGGGAGTGGGTGGAGGGCGGGAGGGGAGGGGGGGGCAAGGGGAAGGAATGGGCGGGAGGGGATGGGGAAGGGGAGGAAGGGATGATGAGGGGACGAGGGCTGTGACTGAGCTGCTGCCGAAAACAGGTTGCGAGCAGGTGGGCCGGGGGGAGTGAAAGGAGGCTAGAAAGCCCTAGCGCGGGCAGCCATAACCTAGGCGTAGCTTCAGAAAGCCAATAGGATCTTAGCACGAGGAAAGAGGGGAGGAATGCGACAAAAAAGAACGAGAGATTGGCCAGAGGGGAGGTACAGAGTGCAGAGGAGGGGGGGTATATGATACATGTGACTAAATACAAACATATAGTTGCATATCGCATATACATGTATGTATATCGGGTCTCACCATCCAAGCATCCACTGGTGTTCAGTGTTGGGTTGCCAGCAAAGCTGCACGAGGGAGAGGGAGAAGCAGAAAGCGAAATCAGGCGCGGGCATCGGAAAGCATACGATGAGAGGCCGACGGGAGTCAGACATACGAGGCGAAGGGAAGTAGACGATAAGGAAACAGAGTGAAACACGAATGTTCTCGAAAGAGTGGGCGGGAGGTAACGGAGGAGACAGAGGCAGGGGGAAGGGGGAAGGTGGGGGGCGGGGGGGGGGGGGGGGGGGGGGGGTGTTGGAGAGGCGGGGAGGGGAAGAGAGGGGGGTTGGAGAGGTGGGAAGGTGTGGGGGGGTGGGTAACGTGGAGAAACAGTAGATGGGCAGAGAAGATGGGTTGAAGTGCATGCGCGCGAGTGTGGTGCGTGCGTGGTGCGCATAAGCGTGATGCGCGCGCTTACTCGGGGCACGGGAAGCGCTTGAAGCACCAGGGGAGGCTGCCCGTCAAGTTGTTGTCCGCGAGATGCCTGGGGGAGCAGAAGGCAGGAGGAGGGACGGGAGAACGGAGAGCGGGATTAGGGAGGTGTGCAGCTTTCACGCGACTCAACGCTCGCTTGAAGCACCCGAGGAGGCTGCTTGTTTAGTTCTTGTCCGCGAGATGCCTGGAGGGGCAGAAAGGTCATAGCTGAAGAGGGGAGCAAGGAACGCAGGGGAGAAGGAGAACGAGAGCGGAAAAGGAGAGCGAAAAGAAAAGAAACCGCGGAGAGCAAGAGCCGGTTGGGGGTACGTAGGGCGGGCCGGGAGGGGGAGGAGGAGGAGGAGGAAGGGGAGCAAAGGGAAGGGAGAGTGAGAGGGGAGGGGAGGGGAGAAAAGATAGGCCTACAGGCACTCGAATCAAGATCCAGATAGACAGAATCGCGCATGGCTTACAGGCACTCGAGCTTGTCGAGGTAGCAGAGCATGTCATCCAAGGTGCCGTTGAGCCGATTGCCCTCCAGGTTGAGCGACTTGAGGCTGGGCGCCAGACCCAGCTGGGGGGGCTGCACGAGACACGGGGCGCGGGGGAAGGGAGGGAGGCGAGGGAAGGGAGGGGCGCGGGGCACACGCAGAGGAGGATGAGGAGGAGATGAGATGCCAGGCGGTCATTGCCCTTCGTGCTGAGCGACTTGAGGCTGGGCGCCAGACCCAGCTGGGGGGGCTGCACGACAGCACAGGTGAATGGAGAGTGACGAGACATAAGACGAGCGGGGGAAGGGAGGAGGACGAGAGACAAGCAGAGAGGAACGCGCGGAAACCCGACGGAGTTGAACCCAACGGGGTGGAAACCCGACGGGGCAAAAGGGTTGAACAGCAATTTTTCTGTTCACTGAACGCGCCAAAACCCGACCTCTCGTGGTCAACTAGCGAAACGGCGAAGAGGGGCTGTTAGACGCGGCCGAGCCATGAAGATCAAAGGGGTGGACCGGGGGGTTGCGGAGGAGGCGCAGCTCACCACAGGTCCTTCCAAGAGGTTGTAGGAGACATCGCTACAGGGCTGTTAGAAACGGCTACAGCGAACGGGGCTATGAGCAGCGGCCAAGTCGTGAGCATCAAGGGGGGTGCGGAGGAGGCGCAGCTCACCACAGGGCCTTCCAGAAGATTGTAGGAGACATCGCTGAGAGCCGGGCAGCAATCCAAATAGGTTCGAACGAGAGCCGACACCATTCCGGGCGCATCCGAAGGAGAGCCAGCGGCAATACACGCGCATTCGAACGAGGGAGAAGTTCCATCAAGGGCGCGCGCATCGCAGGCAAAAGAACAAAGCGGGAAGGGGCAAAGCGGGAAGGGGCAAGGCACGCACGAGACATGGGCGAAAGGAGAGGGGAGGTGAGAAGAGATGATAAGGAGAGGAGGACTGGGAGCAACAAAGAAGCGAGAATGGAAGGGCTGGAAGGCCGAGATTCGCAACAACGGAGCAGCAAGCCTTGACGGGGCAGCAAGCCTTGACGGAGCAGCAAGCCTTGACGGGGCAGAAAGCCCTTACGGAGCAGCAAGCCTTGACGGAGCAGAAAGCCTTGACGGAACAGCAAGCCTTGACGGAGCAGAAAGCCTTGACGGAAGAGAAGGCATTGCGAAGCACTCACAGGCGCTCGAGGAAGAGCACGCCCGAGATGTTCCAGTCGAGCACACCCTGAAGCTTGGGCACGCCAGACGGGAAGGATGGCTGGCTCAAGTCCCTGCGAATGGGAGGCACAGACGGGTAAGGGTAGGGTGGCGGATGGAAGGGAGGGGAGGGAAGGGGCGATGTGAGGAGAGTGAAGCGTGCGAAAGAGAGGGGAGAGAGCGAGGAGCGAGCGACGGTGGAGAGGGAAGAGCAGTGGAGGGGCGGGAAGGGCAGGGAGAGCGAGAAAAAAGCGGGGGAACGGGAGAGGCCGCGAGAGGACTAGGGAAAGGGAGAGAACGGGAGGCGGATGGGAAACGCGGGAAGAGACGGGACGCGCGGTCAGAGGCGCATGCATAAAGACGAAAGCCGCGAGAGGCACGCACACAGAAAGCCGCGCGACACACGTACACGGCAACCACGTAGCCCTGGTCGTTGCAGGAGACGCCAGCGTACGGCATGTCGGTGGTGTTTCCCGGGCACGGCCGGCCGACGGCGACGTTCCAGAACGACGCGGGGAAGTTGGTGAAGGAGCTCTGCTGCCAGCCCAGCAGGAAGGGGTCTGGCGGAAGGAAACAGGGGGAAGGGGGAGGGCGGGAGGGGGGCAGGGGGGGAGGGGGAGGGAAGGGAGGGGGAGTAGTTGTGAGGAGACGTCAGCGTACGGCTTCCATGGGGTGATGACGGGTCACAGCCGGCCGACGGCGACGTTCCAGAAAGGCGCGGAGAAGTTGGTGAAGGAGCTCTGCTGCCAGCCCAGCAGGAAGGAGTCTGGTGGATAGGGAAGAGGAAGGGGAGAGGAGAAGACGTAGGGAGGAAGGGGAGGGTGGAGGGAGAGGGGAGAGACGGTGAGGTTGGAAGCAGGGAAGGTGGTAGAGTATGGATGGACGAAGGAGAGGATAGGAGTGGGAGACAAGAAAACAAAACGAGTGGAAGGAACGAGAAAAGACAGCGAGGGGAGAAGCAGACGAGAAGGTTGTTCGTAAGGACTGCCGAATACTACAGAGGGACGACAAGGCGGGGAGAGTGGAAGGGGTGGTGTGAAGAAGCCTTTGGAAGCACGATGGATTCGGACGATGACCGGGATGACGAATAAAGATCGAAGACTGGGAAAACGGCCCGCTGCTATGAGCTGCTTGATGCGCTTCCAGTAACTTGCGAGGTGCAAAACGGACGCCCAACCATCTACCCGCGTCAGAATCTACCACTCGTGCCATTCGCTAAAAGCTACGAGGACACGCCTGCTGTCGTCAAGCTGCTCAACGGAAAAGACGACGCCGAAAAATATCACGCTGCAACGGGCTTTATCAAGACGCTCAAGTAGGCGAAACGGAAGCATCCTGTCCTTCTTACATGCAGATGCAGAAGCGTGTCAATTATTAATTGGCGGGTCGTTTACGAAATGAAAGAAATGGTGTCGAGTCTGAACTAAGAAAAAATAGCGTGTCGATTATGGGTCATATGAAGCTACACAGATGGAAAACGCGGAACTAACACGAGGCACGGAAACTGGACTACATCAGGCCGCAACACTTACTGTCTCCTGAGTAGGCTGCTAGCATGTAGTTCATGCCGTGCATGCTCGTGCCTTGACCCGCCAGTCGAAATAACAGCGGAACTACCACGAGCCATGGGAACTGAACTCTATCAGGCCGTGGAAACTTACTATCTCCTGCGTAGGCCGCTAGCATGTTGTCCATTCCTTGCATGCTCGTGCTTTGACCCTCCACTCGAAGTAGCGTCAATGATACCACCAATGCGCACACCAACAGCCGACACATTCGTCTGTGTTGAGTGACCATCCCGATTGATCTAAGAGACACCAGGACTTCGCTGTCTTGCGGTTGGCGGAGCTACTTTAACTCACGGCGAATGTGCAAGCCTCTTCTCAACAAACCCTGCTTTCACCTCGTTCTGTCGTAGCTTATCTTAAACGTATGCTAACGCTGTTTGGGTCCTGGATTGCTCTATCTCTGTGACTGCTCTCTTCTCCGTCAGACGCGCATGCATCAGTGGCTCAAACTTGTTCCCTGTGTTCCGAACACCACAATGTGGAGGTTGAGGGACAATTGAGGGACAACTGAAGGGAGCGGGGAACGCAGGAGAAACCTCAAGGTCGACACTGTTGGATTTGAAGAGATTGAGGGAGGAGGGAGACAAAAACTAGGTAAGCATCATGAGGGTTTCGTTTTGGCTGGGAAGGTGGCGGTCAGGGAAGGGAGGAAATGTACAGAACAGTAAACCTCGAGGTTAATCTTCGGTTCGGTGTGCTCAGAGTTCCGTTCCGTGCCTCGAACGGCAGCTTCGGCATGGTAAACCGAGGCAAAAAGGCACGAGGGTGAGGACAGATTAACAGAAACGCTGTGTTTGCCGAACCACGCTGATCTGGGCCACTGCCACGGTTTTCCGGTCATGCCATGTGAGGGGTCAGAAACCACCTGACCGAACCCTGAAACCTTCGCGAGCCTCGCCAGCAACAGGGTGATGAGAGCATCGCCGTGCCATGTACCATGCCATACATTCGCCAGTTTTCGCGAATGACGGTGAGGAGCAACCGCCACTTGCGCCTAGGGTTCTCACACTCTGTTGAAGGTGGATGGGGGTTGAATGAATATGATGCGAGGTCAGGTTGACCAGGCGAGAGTTGCGGTGGACATTGCGGTTGTTTTTCGAACAGCCCAGGTACTTCAGGTATCGTTTCAAGTAGAAGGTTATCGGGCAGCGAAATAAAGCAGGCTGACCTTCAACCAACAGGGAACACGGTTGACGAAAATGCTGGTGGTGGGCTTGTGTGTCGTTTTCATGTTTTTCGCCGTTTCTGAAATGTTCTGCCGACAGTCCAGCTGAGAAAGGCAAGGACCCGAAGAAACTGTCTGAAACCGCCTCAACAACATTCTAAACCCATGGAGGCCTATGTTATGCACTATAACATGAGAATACAAGGTCGCTATTGCAATGAAAGCACGAGGTTATATAGGGGTAGACGTAATAGGGCGATAACCTCGGGACGTGGTTACGTTCGGCAATGTGGCGACACTGTCGGATGCGACTCGAGAAAAGGTTGGGTCGAAAATGTAGGCCGAACGTGTTCGGGTGTACGCGGTAGCGGCCGACTCAGTAAGGAATGGAAATTCCTTACACTAACCCCCCCCCCCCCCCCCCCCTCCTAAACGAGTCTGTGGGCACCGGAAACATTCCGACGCTGATAATACGCCGTTAGAATCGGATGTGATTCTAGGTCAGCGAGAGGCACCCAGCTGTCGTCTTCGGACGTGCGATCGCGTCAGCGGACGAGGAAATCAACAATCCATCGGTGCAGCTGCGTTGTAACGCGATGGCCCAGAATCTTTAAGGGCTCGGTTGTCGGTTCTTGCAGGGGCGTCAGCTGCGGGACTCCGCGTTGGCGTGCCACGTCGGACGAACTGGGGACGTAAGGTCGTAAGAGGCTGACGTGGAAGGCCGGGTGGTGGCGCCAATCGGCCGGGAGCCGAAGGTGAACAGTGACAGGTGTCACCAGGTTCGTCACTTGAAAAGGTCCGCAGAATCTGGGCCGGAGCTTGCTCGGGATCGGCAATTGCAAATTGCGAGTGTCGAGGAGGACGAGATCGTCCACGTTGTAAGTGACGTCACGGCGATGACGATCGGCTTGTCGGCTTGCGACCAGGTTGGCTTTCCGAATTGCTTCAGCCGCTTTTTCCCGAGCAGCGAGGATGTCTTCAGCAAATTTTTGGGATCGGGGCACAGGTGACTCGATGTTCGGGGTCGAGGGTACCACTGGGTCCTGTCCGTAGTTGAGGAAAAATGGGGATTGATGGGTGGTGGCGGAGGTCGCGTTATTATACGCGAATTCTAGCAGCGGAAGGGATTTCTCCCATGCCTGTGGGTCAGTACAGGTAATTCGAATGAGTTGTTCCATAGTTTGGTTGACTCGTTCGGTCTGCCCTTCGGTCTGTGGGTGGTAGGCAGAGGAAAACTGTAGCTTGGTGCCGAACTGCTCCCATAGGTGGCGCCAGAAATTTGACGTGAATTTCGGGTCTCGGTCTGAAACGGTGGCGGAGGGCAGTCCGTGCAGTCGGATGACGTTCGTGAGGAACAGCTGCGCGGTTTGTTCGGCTGTGATTGTCTGCTGGCATGCGATGAAGTGCGCCATTTTCGTGAGTCGGTCAACGACCACAAGGATGGCGTCGTTTCCGCTGGGACCGGCCGGCAGTCCTGTCACGTAGTCCATCGTGACTTGTTGACAGGGTCGCTCGGGCGGATCCAACTGCTGTAGTAGTCCGGCTGCTCGCTGATGCGACGATTTCATAATCTGGCAGGCAGTGCAGGAGGACACGTACTTGCGCACGTCATCGGCCATGTTTGGCCAGTAATAATGCCGCTGCAGCATCTTCGTGGTTTTATCGACGCCGAAATGTCCTGAGGTAGGGTTGTCATGGGATTCCTGGATTAGAAGGGTACGGAGTAGATCGTAGCCAGGTACCTAGATGCGAGAAGTACCGCGCTTATGAAAATACGGTCCACTGGCGGTGGTATGCTATTGATGGATAGCAGAGCGGAAGAAGGGATCGGTCTTGTAGCCGTGGTTTAATAATCCGGTAAGTAATGGGCTGGTCTGGGCGACTAGTATAGCAGCGGTATGGGCAGTAGGGCGAGTAAAGGCATCGGCAATATTATTGGCACCCCGTTTGTAGGTGATGGTGTAATGGAAATTTGACTCGAGGAAATCGAGCCATCGGATCTGTCGGGGGTTGAGGTTCGGTTGGGCGCGCAGGTATTGTAATGATTTGTGGTCAGTCCGCACCGTGACGTCAGCGCCTGTCAAGTAGCACCGCCAGGTTTTGAACGCGTGGACGATCGCCAGCATTTCCTTGTCGTGGACAGTATAGTTTTTTTCCGCGCCCTGCAGCTTCCGTGATTCGTATGCGATTGGTTGTAACCCGTCGCCAAAATCCTGTAGAAGAACTGCGCCGATGGCGATGTCGCTTGCGTCGGTGACGACTTCGTATGGACGGTTAGGATCGGAGATGCGAAGAACGGGCGGCGTCATGAGGGCGATTTTGAGTTGGTCAATTGCAGCTTGCTGCCTCTCTCCCCACCAAAAACAATCGTGATCTTTCAATCGGTCGGTTAGCGGGGCAGATAACCCAGCCATATTTGGGATAAAACGGCGGACGTAGTTGACGAAGCCCAGAAAACTCTGCAGTTCCTTGATGTTGGTCGGCGGCTTCCACTCCTGTATGCTCTTGATTTTTTTTTGGTCGATTTTCACTCATTCGGTAGATACGACGTGGCCCAAAAACTCCAACTCCTGCTTAAGAAAGTCGCACTTAGATCCTTTCGTGATGAGGCGATTCTTGTGCAGTAGCGTGAAGACTGCATCAAGATCCTTTAAGTGCTGCTCCCTGCTGCGGCTGTAGATTAGGATGTCGTCGAGGTAGATAATCACGCATTTATCCAGGAGTTCCCGGGAAACGCCGTTCATGGTCATCTGAAAAGTTGAAGGCGCGTTCGTGAGGCCGAATGGCATCACCAGGTATTCGTAACTGCCGTAGCGGGTTCGGAATGCGGTTTTGTGGCAATCTTCGGCGGCGACGCGAATTTGATGGTAACCCCCTCGCATATCGATTTTCGAGAAGACCTTGGCTCCGCGAAGTTGGTCGAGTAAATCGTCGGCTCGCGGGATCGGGTAACGGGACTTGATGGTGATGCGGTTGAGCGCGCGGTAGTCGATGCACATGCGGAATCCTCCATCTTTTTTCGGTGTGAACAGGATCGGGGCGGCGTATGAGGACGTGCTGGGCCGGATAAAACCCTTCGTCAGCAGGTAATCCAGCTGTTGCTGCAATTCTTCGAGTTCCGGTTGGCTGAGCCGCAATTGTCGCTGAACTGTCGGTTGTGCGCCTGGTTCCAGCTCGATGCGGTGGTCTTCAGGTCGGCTTGGCGGAAGTCCGGCGGGTAGATCGTCCGGGAAGATCTCGGGGTATTTTCGAATCAGGTCCGCTAAATCCGGAGGAACGGCTTCGCACAGCTTCGCGATATCTTCGGCAGTGGTTGGCGACGTCACCTCGCGAAGATCAACGGCGTACGCTGCATCTCCCGCTTTGATCGCGCGCTTGAAAGTGACCGCGTGGACTTGGGTGCTTCGCATTCCGGGTCCCGTCCATTTCGGTAGCTCGCGATAGATCCCATCGAGTTTGATGCTGCAGCTGCCCGTCGTCCAGTCGATCCTCGGGTTGTACTGTCGCAGCCAGTCCCGTCCCAGCAGCACGTCGCACCCGTCGAGTGTAGTCGCCAGCAGCCCCATCCGAAATTTTACGTGCTCGCCACAATGGAAACTGACTTGCTCGACCCGCTCTCGTATGGCTAGCGGTGTTCCATCCACCAGTCGTGCGTCAATCTCGGGTAGACATTTTTTTAAGGGGATACCCTTTTTTTTTGCTCTGTCCAGCTGTATAAGACTATGACTCGCGCCTCCATCCACAAAGATTTTCAGCAACACCCCGTTGACTTTACCCTCCACCAACACAGGGCGATCAGCAGTTCCGTCCCCCTTATTCGTCTGGATCCGGTCGATTGCAGCAATCGGGATCACGACCCGGTGGGGACTGTGTGGCTCGGGCGAAGAAGCCTGCCGTCAGTAAGGGGCCCGGTACTTACTGACGTAACCCATTTCCCGGTCGCTCTTCCGGCTTCTTCCCCATAGAACTCTGGATGGCTAAGAACTCTTGGCAGTTCCGTTTGATGTGACCCGGTCGGCCACAGTGGTAGCATAGCCCCGTATTGCGCGGCGCAAGTGCGTAAATATACACTGCCTCCATCCCTTTTATCGTGGCGCGCTGGTACTGTTCTCGAGGGCGACCTCCGTCGTAGAAGTTCGTCCTCGGCTTCGTGAGCGAATCAGCGGCTTCGGCGAGTTGGATGAAGTCTTGTAACCGCTTCGCAGGTCGTTGTAATTTTATTTGGTACTGTATTTCAGGCTTCAGCCCGCCCATGTACCTGTCGACCTTCTCCAACTCGTGCATGTAGCCACATCGATCCACCAACGTCATGAATGACGCGATGTAGTCAGACACAGATCCCAGCTGCTTCCACATGCGTAGAGTCTCGCGCGCTTTGTCTGAGTCAGGGGCGTGCTCAAACCGCTTGCGAAGCTCCGCGCACCACGTTGCCCACGTGCGAATGTGAGTTGCACCAAACAGTAAGTCTGCCTCGTCTTCGTCGCCGAATTTTTCGGACCACTCATGCTGTCCTTCTTGTCAGAAACCCAGTCACTAACCACTGGGTTAAAAGGGCTTGTTAATAGCGGGTTAGTGCGCCCATAGCCCCCCAGGCTCTGCACCTGTGGCCCTTCCCCGAGGATCTCAAGGGCAACCCCAGCGGGTCACTCAACACCCCCCCCCCGCTGGGATAGGTGGAAGACACGAGCGCCTCTGCAGCGCTGGCACTGGGAGTTGAACCCAAGACCTTTGGCTCTGATACCATGTCAAAAACCCAGTCACTAACCACTGGGTTAAAAGGGCTTGTTAATAGCGGGTTAGTGCGCCCATAGCCCCCCAGGCTCTGCACCTGTGGCCCTTCCCCGAGGATCCCAAGGGCAACCCCAGCGGGTCACTCAACACTTCTGTGCGAGTTGCCGCGGAGTCGACGATGACCTTCCACCACTGTAGGGCGGCCCCTTGCAGCAGTGTCAACGCATGGCTGATCCGCTTCTGATCGTCTCGGATGCCCGCCGCGTTTAAGTAGATATTCATGGCGAATATCCTCTGCCGCACCGTCACGCCTTTATTAGCTGGGTCGAAAGGAGCGGGTTGCTGATATCTCACACCGTCACTTGTCGAGCGTGGGGCTATTGCCGCTAGTCGTGCCAGTTACACTGACGTCGGTTGCTGCTCACCCGCCTCGCTTCGTGCATCGTCGTCCGGCTCCTCTTAACGCTTTTCCTGCGCTTGGCGAAGTCGTTGGTTCTCGTCACGGAGGTTGTTGACGACGCTTGTCAAATTATTCAACTGCTCCATTAAAGCTTGCAGGTCCACAGTTTCCTGGGCAGAGTTCGTAGCAGTCGAGGTCGTCTGTTCCTCAACCGTCGAGTCTACCGGGGCCATGGCGGTCAGGACGGGGCAGAAACTAGCGCACACGCTGTAGTTGTTGACGTAAAAATATTTACGATCGAAGACAACTGCTGTGCAGCCGTGTTAATCCCTTCTGAGCACCCTTAACTAATTAAACGAGAAAACGGAAGATTCCTGGAAACCTCGGGCTTTGATACCAGCTGTTATGATTTAGAAGATGTCAATGCACTACAACGTGAGAATACAAGGTCGCTATTGCAATGAAAGCACGAAGTTATGTAGGGGTAGACGTAATTGTCAACTTATACATATTATCTATGTAGAAGTTATAGGCTAGACTGAGGTATGCTTCTAGTGAGTACAACCAACTAGTATTTGTTCTAGGTTTCCACCTCTAGTAATCATTCGTTTTCTACGTTAACATGGTATCACGCTTAGGTTAGGATCCCCCCGCCTACCGCTTCCGCCCGTCGCGCCCCCTAGGCCCCGTCGCGCCCCCCCTGGGCCCCGTCGCGCTCGTTAGGCCCCGTCGCGCCCCCCCTGGGCCCCGTCGTGCCCGCTGGGCCCCGTCGCGCCTCCTAGGCCCCGTCGCGCTCCCCCTGGGCCCCGTCGCGCCCACTGGGTCCCGTCGCGACCCCTAGGCCCTAACGCGCCCCCGCTGGGCCCCGTTGCGCCTCCTAGGCCCCGTCGCGCCCCCCATGGGCCCCGTCGAGCCCGCTGAGCCCCGTCGTGCCTCCTAGGCATCGTCGCTCCTCCTAAGCCCCGTCGCGTCCCCCCTCTCTGGGCCCCGTCGCGCCCGTTCGGCCCCGTCGCGCCCCTCCTAGGCCCCGTCGCGCCCGCTGGGCCCCTTCGCGCTTCCTTGGCCCCTGTCGCGCCTGCTGTTAGCGCTCGCCCGCCTGGCCTCCTCCTAGTGCCGCTCGGCCTCCTCCTAGTGCCGCCCGGCCTCCTCCTAGTGCCGCCCGGCCTCCTCCTAGTGCCGCCCGGCCCCTTCCTAGCGCCGCCCGGCCTCTCCTCAGCGCTGCCCGGCCCCTCCTCGTGCCCGACCGGCCCCAGCAGCACCAGCCTGGCCCCTCCCAGCACCAGCCCGGCCCTAGAGCACCTGCCCGCCTCCCCTGCTCGGCCTGCCGTGTCCTCTCGGGCCCTGTGTCTTCTGCTTGCCTGCGCTGGGACGCCTAGCTGCTGCCCTACTGGAGAGTGCTGCCGCCGTGTCCCCGCGCCGCTGTGCTCCTGTGCCGCTGAGGAGCTGTGCTGCTGTGCCGCTGTGTCGCTGAGGAGCTGTGCCGCTGACCCTGCACGATGGCTGACTTTGTGCTCCGCCTGGACGCTGAGGGCCACGCGGTTGACTTCGCCGCCTGGCTCTCCGATCTTCGCCGCCAGCTTACAGGTCAGCGCCAGGATGGCCACTCTCTGGTTGTCCATGCTGATGGCTTGCTCCCCCGTCCCCCTGCACCTACTCCCCTCCCTGCTGACCCCTCCTCTGATGACCGTGAGGCTTTCTCTACTGCTGCGCTAGCCTGTGCGGTCTGGGACTCACGCGATGCAGTAGCTCAGGTTGCTATTAGTCACGCCCTCCCTGTGTCTGAGCGCTCGCGTTTTGCTACTGTTGAAACGGCCAAAACTTATTTAGACGCCGTTATTGCTCGCTATTCCACCCCTGCCTCCGCTTCTGCTGGCCGCTTGCTCTTTCCGATGCTGTTCCCAGACCTGGCTGCCTTCCCTACTGTCGCAGATTTTGCCACTCATTTGCGTGCCCTAGAGACTCGCTATCGCACTGCCAGCACTGCTGCCCAGCTCACTGCGCTCCCCCCTCCTTTCTGCATGACGCTCTATTTTATCGCTATGCGCCTGCCAGACCGCCTCGCTAGTGCTCGCGACCACTTTCTTAGCCAGCACCCGGGTGACCTCACCCTGACCGCCTTTGTCGACACCCTCACTGAGATCGAGACTCGCCAGCGCACTATCGCTCAGTCGAGCGGTGCGCCGGCAGTCTCTATCTTTCACGGTTGTGCCCCATCCCCGTGCACGTTCACTGACGTTTCGGCTGCGGTCGCCACGGCGACCCCTCTTACCGAGACGGCTGCTGCTGTCCACCCGCAGCAGCGCTCGCGTCGCGGTGGCCGTGGCCGCCAGGGAGGTAGGGGTGGTGACGCAGGTGGTAGTGGTCGTGGTGGTGGTGACGGTAGTCCGCCTGAGGGGACTACCACCGGTGGGCAGGAGCAGCAGTCCCAGCAGCAGCAGGACCAGCCCCAGCCGCAGCCGCCGTCCCAGCAGCACCCGCCGCAGCCGTGGGCTCGTCTCCCGCCTGGTTGGCCCGGCACCTCCGGAGGCGGTGGCCGTGGTGGCGGCCCGCGCAGCTTGGCGTCTACCAGCGGCTCCAGTGCTGTGACCTGCCAGTACCAGCTTCAGACCGGGCCTCTCCGCGGCACTCTGTGCCGCCGCCCGCACCCGACCGCCCGCTGTTTCCGCCGCCTCGACGATCTTTTTCGTCGTCGCTTTGGCCCGGCCCCGGACCTCCCTGACTGGCACAGCCTGCTCCGCCAGGGCGTGCCGATCTTTGAGTTAGACATGGATCAGATAGGTGCTGCTTTGCATGCTTTGTATGCTGACGCTTCTAGTGTTGATGGATCTTACTACCATGTGTACTCTAGTTTAGGTGTTTCACCCTTGTGTAGCTTAGCTTCCCCTGCTGCGACAGGCGTAGGACTGCCTAGGTTGCCTAATCTAGTCGCTGCACCGGCTCCGTCCGCGGCCTCCGCCACTGCGTCGCTGTCCTTCACTCTCGACTCTGGTGCTTCTGCCTGCTTCTTCCGCGACCGTTCCACGCTCACGCCGCTTGCTGCACCTGCTGTTGTCTCTCTCGCTGACCCCTCTGCGGGTCCGGTCGTCGCGCGCAGTTCTACGTCCCTTCCCTGTCCGGCAGTTCCCTCGGGCTCCCTTACTGGCCTCCACGTTCCCTCGTTCTCCAGGAACCTGGTTGGTGTCGGCTGTCTCCAGGACCTCGGCGTCACCACCACGTTCCCCGGGCACGAGCGGTTCGCTGTCTGTTCTGAGGCTGTCTCAGGTTCCCCCCTTGCGACGTTCCCCCGGGACCCGGTGTCCGGTCTGTTTACCCTACACACCGCTTCCCCCCCGGTTGGTGCGTCCTCCCAGGTCGCTGCAGCTTGCTCGTGTCGGTCCCTCACTCACCCCTCCCTTCTCTGGCACCACCGCTTAGGTCACCCTGCTCTCCCGCGTCTGCGTCACATGTCCCAGCACGGTCTTGTCTTAGGTCTCCCCGCGTCGCTCCCTGCCCTTCCTCCCTCGACTGCGCCACCGTGCACGCCTTGCGTCGAGGGTCGGCTCCGCCGTGCTCCTCACTCCTCCTCGCTGCGTCCTGCTACTGCCCCCCTTCAGACCCTGCACTTGGACGTTTGGGGCCCTGCCCCCGTCCCCGGACCGCGCGGTGAGCGCTACTTCCTTGTGCTCGTTGACGACTACACGCGCTACACCACGGTGTTTCCCCTGGAGCGGAAGGCCGACGTGCCCGACGTTCTTCTCCCGTGGGTTGTAGCTGCGCGTCTCCACCGCGGTCTCCCCGTGTTGTGTCTCCACTCCGACCGTGGCGGCGAGTTCGCCTCTGGTCGGCTTGGACAGTTCTGTCGTGCGGAGGGCATCACCCAGTCGTACACCTTGCCGGACTCGCCACAGCAGAATGGGGTTGCTGAGCGCCGCATCGGCTTGGTCATGGAGGTCGCCCGTACCTCCATGATCCATGCCGATGCCCCCCATTTTCTGTGGCCGTTCGCTGTTCGCTACGCGGCTCACCAGCTTAACCTGTGGCCACGCTCCCAGCGGCCGCAGGTTTCGCCGACCCTCCTTTGGACCGGGTCCCCCGGTGACGCGTCTGCGTTCCACGTCTGGGGCTGCCTTGCTCACGTTCGTGCCTCTGGCACGGACAAGCTCACTGCCCGCACTGTCCCCTGTGTCTTCCTCGGTTTCCCCCTGGACTCGTCTGACTGGCTTTTCTACCACCCGCCGTCTCACCGCTTCCTCCACTCTCGTGACGTCACCTTTGACGAGTCCGTCTCCTTCTACCGCCGCTTCCCTCACCGAGGTCTCCCAGTTGCCCCCCCCCTTTTCCTTGCTCCCTCTCCCCCGGTAGCCCCTGCCCCTCTCCCGCCTCGTCCTGCCCCGTCTGGTGTCTCCCACGTCACTCCCCTCCCGTCGGTTGTCCCCGTTGAGGAGTCTGCTGACTCTGGTGGTACCCCCGGTCCGTCCTTGCCGCGTCCCCCTTCCCCGGTGCCTCCGCCCCCACTGTCGCAGTCGCCGACCCCGCTGCCGCCGCCGTCGCCGTCGCCGCCGCAGCCGTCGCCGCTTTCGTCGTCGCCGCCGCCGCTGTCGCTGCCGCAGCCGTCGCCGCTGTCGCCGCCGCCGCAGCCGTTGCCGCCACTGCCGCCGCTGCTCTCGGCCCCTGGGGGTGCTGGTGTGGAGGAGGGTGTTCGTCCTGCGGCTTCTGGGGGTGCCGCTGGTGTTGGAGGGGGTTCTCGCTCTGGGGGTGTTGGTTCTGGGGGTGCTGCTGTTGAGTGTTCTGCCGACGGTCGTTCTGCCTCTGCTGGTCCGAGAGTTCCGGCCCAGCCGTCGTCGCCGCCGCAGCAGCCGTCGCCGCCGGTTTCCGCTCTCCGCCTGCTCGGCCTTCCCTCCCCGGACCGCGCGCCGGTGTCTCCCCCACCGCCTCCTGACCTCCCTGTCTACGGTCCTGTGTTCCCGCCGCCAGACTCGTCTCCGGCCCGTCTTCCTCCTCGTTCCCCTCCTGTGTCTCCTCCGCTGTCCCCTGACCCTACCCCTCCGTCTCACGTTTGGGCTCGCCGTCCCTCCCGTGCTCGTCCCGTCTCTCCTGTCCTGCCCACCCACCCTATGTTGCTCCGTTCCCACTCGTCTCGTCCTCCCCTCCTCCCGTCCCCTCCTCCCTCGTCCCTTGCTGTTGCACCTCCTCCGTTCTCTGACTACCTCCGTGCTGCTCGTCCCCTTGTCCCTCGGGTCCTTGCCTCTCTTGTTACCGACCCTGCTGTTCCTGTCTCGCGCCTTGACGCGCTTGTCGCTGCTGTCGCTGACTTCGCTTCTACCCGCCGCCTTGACTACGCTACCGCTCTGGTCTCTGACCCTGCCCGTCCTCTGTCCGTCGGGGGTGCTCCTGCCCTTGGCAGTGACGTCCTAGAGGACAGGCAGTACGAGCTGGCTTTCCTTTCCGAGGCTGCTCCCCATCTCTGCTCCATGCTGTTAGTCCCTGAGGGTGACCCAGACGCCTTCGACATCCCGACCCCTCGCACCTACGCTGAGGCCACCTCGGGACCTTGGGCCTCTCAGTGGATAGCTGCCATGGAGCAGGAGATGGCATCTTGGAGATCCACCGGCACTTACGTCGACGCAGTTCCCCCGCCTGGGGTGAACGTAGTCGATGGTCGGTGGCTCTTCAAGGTGAAGCGCCCCCCTGGAGAGCCGCCTGTCTTCAAGGCGCGCTACGTGGCCAGAGGTTTCAGTCAGCGCGAGGGGGTTGACTTCTTCCAGACCTTCGCCCCGACCCCGAAGATGACCACTCTTCGGGCGCTGCTACACGTAGCAGCACAGCGTGACTACGAGCTTCACTCTCTCGACTTCTCTACTGCCTTTCTTCAGGGCAGCCTACACGAGCAGGTCTACCTGCGCCGACCACAGGGCTTCACTGGTACCTTCCCTCCTGGGACCCAGTGGCTTCTCAGGCGCCCGGTCTACGGCCTGCGTCAGGCTCCCCGCGAGTGGCACGACACGCTACGTGCCACGTTAGCAGACCTGCAGTTCTTTCCGTCCTCTGCTGACCCTTCACTGTTTGTGCGTTCCGGCCAGACTCCGTTCTACATCCTTGTCTACGTAGACGACCTGGTCTTCGCTACTCCTGACAGGGACGCACTGGCCTCTGTGAAGGCTGAGCTGCTGAAGAGACACACCTGCACTGACCTTGGAGAGCTGCGTCGCTATCTTGGCCTGCAGATCTCTAGGGACAGAGCAGCACGCACCATCACTCTGACCCAGTCACACTTGGTGCGTCAGGTCCTTCAGAGGTTCGGTCTTCAGTTCTCCTCCGCACAGCCCACACCTCTACCCGTAGACCATGGGCTCTCTGCTCCCGTTCCTGAGGAGCCAGTAGAGCCCAGTGGCCCCTACGCAGAGCTGGTGGGTTGCCTCATGTACCTGATGACTTGCACTCGCCCAGATCTCGCATACCCTCTCAGCATCCTGGCTCGCTTTGTGGCTACAGGCAGACACCGACCTCAGCACTGGTCTGCCGCTAAGAGGGTTTTGCGTTATCTTGCTAGTACATCAGGCATGGGGTTAGTGCTAGGAGGACGCAGGCCAGTGGTCCTTACTGGGCACACAGACGCTTCTTGGGCAGACGACGCTGAGACGCTCAGGTCGTCGCAGGGCTACTGTTTCAGCCTTGGTTCGGGTGCTATCTCTTGGAGATCCACTCGCTCGTCGTCTGTGGCTCAGTCTAGCTGTGAGGCTGAGATCTACGCTGGTGCCATGGCGGCACAGGAGCTCCGCTGGCTGACCTTCTTGCTCACAGACTTAGGTGAGCGGCCTAGCTCTGCCCCGGTCCTGTACGCTGACAACAGGGCCATGATACTCCTGTGTCAGGAGCCTCGGCTTGAGGGCAGAGCGAAGCATATCCAGCTGCGGTACTTCCTCCTGCGCGAGCTACAGCAGCGCCGCCAGGCCCGCGTAGTTCACTTGGCCTCAGGTGCCAACACAGCTGATATCTTTACTAAGGCGCTTGCGCCTAAAGATCATCAGCGGCACTGTGTACAGCTTGGTCTTGTTCCTATAGCTGCTCCCCTGTTAGGATCCTGATTGTGTACTCTCTATTATATATGCTTGTCAGACTGGCCTTGTGGCCTTACCTCCAGTGGCTGGACTAGTAGTGCCACCCTGGCTTGCTTGAGTTTTGGTTGTATTCTTGCTGACTGGTCTCCAGACCCCTGCCTCAGTGGTTGGACTAGTAGTGCCGCCCTGAGCTGTTTGCTTCTTGTTTAGTTTCACCCCTTGTCTAGCCTAGGGGGTGTGTCAACTTATACATATTATCTATGTAGAAGTTATAGGCTAGACTGAGGTATGCTTCTAGTGAGTACAACCAACTAGTATTTGTTCTAGGTTTCCACCTCTAGTAATCATTCGTTTTCTACGTTAACAGTAATAGGGCGATAACCTCGGGACGCGGTTAGGTTCGGCAATGTGGCGCCACTGTCGGACGCGACTCAGTAAGGAATGGAAAAGGTTGGGTCGAAAATGTAGGCCGAACCTAACGAGTCGACATGTTCGGGTGTACGCGGTAGCGGCCGACTCAGTAAGGAATGGAAATTCCTTACAGCCTACACCCATTGGCAAATATCGAGCATTCACATAAGGGTGCTACATGACCAAATTCACTCAAAGAATGACAAATTTGAGTTTGACACAAAAATAGCTAGTACATCTGTAAGTCTAGTTCGCCGACAAGCCAATCACACCTGCCAAGGGCCACAGTTCGAGGGGTTTGGGAGGAGTGGGGGGTTGTGGCAATCAAGCAGGAGATCACGCAATACGACAAGGCCACAATAAATCACAATAGCAAGAGAATCAAATTTCACACTAGTGGCTTGATCATCGGTTATCATTGCTTACCACATGCCACCCTGCCACCAGCGTTGCCTGTAGCCTTGCTCAGCTCAACACCACCTGCACACATATGCACCATATGCATGTAAGACAAACAACATTGGCCCCATGCCCAAATCCAATATATATAACGCAATGCAGATACAATAACAAGACCATTGCACAATTACACATGCATGGAAAGAGAGCCAAACTGGAAGTAGAGACGCACGGACCAATGCACTGAAAGAATGGATTGGCCGCACTTTCTGCAATCCTGTAAAAATCTAACCCCAAAGCCCTTCCCTCCCTCCCTCGCTTCCCACCCACCCCTTGCCCAGGTCGTCAGCATCAGCAAGGTGACTTCTGAGTCGACTCAAATCCCAACCCCCAACGCCCTGGTCTCATCCCTTCCCACTCACCCTTGCCCAGGTCGTCAGCATCAGCGTGCACGACAACAGCGCGGCCAAGGACGGAGTTGGGGCCAGACAGAGGGATTTGGAGGTCGGTCAGAGACACAGTCGCCACGCCTGAATAGGAGGATTGCACAGATTTAGGGAAAAAGACATGCTGCTCTTAGAATCTGGCTCTTTCAGTAGGGATAGCAGCACCAACAACACCTACAGAGGGGTCAAGGACTACAAGATTTGCAGATATCCAAGAAAGCAAGCACAACCACAGCATGAGCAATGCAGTACGCATATGCGCATATGGAGAGAAATACATGGGCTGGTGCACGCATCAACTTACCCGACGCATCCGCCACCAGATTCCCAAGGTCCCCTGCATGCCTCTCGCTATCCCCTGGAGCCCCGTGAGTCTTACCCGCCGGATTGAAGTGCGGCCCTGCCAAGGGTTGAGAGTGGATGAGGGTTGGGGTGAGTCGGGAGCCAAGAGGAGTTCAGTTTACGAATGGATTGGATTGCGGCCTTGACAACGGTTCGTGGGTGGATAGGGGTTGGAAGCCAAGGAAGCTCGCATGACTGAGATAAGGTGGTGCTATTGCGCGAAAAGGGTGCCAACTCAGAGGGCATACGGAGGTGGTAAGGCAAAGGCAGGAAACCACATGCCTAACGATCCACACTATAAAAATACACATACATAAGTATGGTGGCGCAAATCAGTGGAAGGACCACTCCTGTGGACATGCAGCCACAGTGGACCTGTGGAGAGGTCCCCCAGCTTGTGCATATGGATAAAGGAAGCCATGCAGGCCAGGAGTCAACCTCTCCGCAAGCGCTCTATACGAACGCTGACTTGCACTGAGAGCAAGTAAAAGAACGAGACGCACCACTGGACACGCAGCAGTTGGAGAGATCCCCCAGCTTGTGCACGTGGGAAGAAGTGATGTGGAAGCCGTGCAGGCCGGGGGCCAGCCAGTCCCGTGCAATGCAGACTCGCTATAACATACCTCTATAGTGCGCATGAGAAGTTCCTCACCAGTGGACATGCAGCCATTGGAGAGGTCCCCCAGCTTGTGCACGTGGAAGCCGTGCAGGCCGGGGGCCAGCCCTGCCACGGATGCACTCACTTGGGTGGGGCCTGGGGGAAATCGTACATGAGGGGACGGGGGGGAGGGGGGGGGGGGAGGGGAGGAGGGGGGAGAGGGAATGGGGGGAACAGCAGGGGGGATGGGGTTGCGAGCGACGCAGGAAGGCCAGGTGCCAGCGCTGCCACGGATGCAAAGGGCGGGGAATGTGGTTCACCGACCGACCATGAGGTGCATAACCATGGGGGAATCACATAACCCGCCCCCCACTGCAGGTTGCAAGGCGTGGGTGGTCTTTTAGTCGACTCAAACATCAGCGTCTGGCTGTCGCAGAGCGTGGTGAAGTAGTTTCGTTTTGAGACGTCTCAAAAGTAAACTACGTAAATCAGCGTCTGGCTTTTCGCAAAGCGCCTCAAAAACATTTTGGGATGTCAATGGCATCTGCTCGATTCTTGCCCGATTCCTCCCCGCAAAATGGCAACGGCACGCTGCGCACAATGCACCCAATCCTTCCTTTGAAACATGCGTGATTCCTAATCCCATCCACTCCCAAAGTTACTGAGTTACTTTTGAGTCAAAGTGCGAAGCCATTCGCATCGCTGATTCACCTGATCCTTCCTGCGAGAAGGTGACAGTCCCGGAAACCCCGGAGCTCCCCGTCACGACGGCGACAGCGTTAATCCCCGCGGCGGACGCGGCTGCCGGGGAGAGAGGCATGGCGAGGAGAGCGGCAAGCACGGCGGAACACGCGGGGACGGCCATGGCGGCAACGACAGACGAAGAGCTCCTTGAAAGGGCGGAATTTTCGGCGGAAGATTCCGTCTTCAGGCCGCTGCGAACGCGGATCACGGCCTTGCTGGCGCATGCTGATTGGCTCTTGGCTGGGGATCGTGAAGCGGAGGAGAGGTTAGTCGCGGGAGCAAGGGACGGGGGGACGCGGAGGGACGCGGAGAGGAGGCCGCAGGACGCCATTGCGGGGTGGCTAAACTGGTGGCAGGGATTCGCACAGGAGGAGCGACAACGGCGGGCGGAAACGACGCTCAGCTGTGGAACCTTGCGTGACGGACTAATCAGTGTGCAGAATTGAATCCCGAGTGACTGTTCGAGGCCTGGACGGCTATGGCTGCTTCACTGGGAGGATGGGTTCACTGTCATCTGGATGATTAGAGAAAGTCGCCGTACTGAAACGCAGGGCAATGCATAGGATGCTATAGTACCGCATTGTACCGCTGGAGAGAGTGCTTCACTCCCCCTTTGTTGGGAGAAACCCAAGCACAGCACCGCACTCTACCGTACTTCGCGCCGAGATAACACACTGTAACGTGGAACGTCATCATCAATCCTCAAGACCCAAGATTCCTGAATTTGGTCGCTTTTTTCAGATCCTTGTCTGTCGAGAATGATGACATGTCAACTGTGCATACGTGGCATTGAGCACGGATGACGTGCTCAACGGAAGGTCAATACTGGCTGTGATGGTACAATTACAACCTTCGAGTCCATAACTATCATGCAGCATTTCTCTTCAGGTAAAGCTACTAAGTATTCTAAGCTGCTGCTTGGAAGCCAATAACACCTGCCAAAAACCAATGAGACGGAGAGCAGCATTGAAGAAAGGTGGGAGGTAAGGGCGGGGTGCGTGGTGTTAAATCCGAAGTAGTTGATAAGTGCACTGCCACCATGAGATGACTTTGAATTAACCAACTAGTAAAAGCTTACCGCATGCAAGCCTGCCTCCAGCATTTCCAGTGGTTTTGCTCAGCTCATGACCACCTGAATGGGGTCAAGGAGGCAAGGGTCGCCACAACACAAATGGAATGAGATTTTATCCATGGGCAAATAAGTTTCATAGAAGTACAGTCTGCCCAAATCTCCCTCGCTCACTCATTCCTCCTCCTTCTCCCTCGCTCACTCATTCCTCCTCCTTCTCCCTCGCTCACTCATTCCTCCCACTTCTCCATCGCTCATCATCCCTCCCACTTTAAGCTCTCACCCTTGCCAAGGTCGTCCACGTCAGCGTGCACAACGACAGCACGGCCAATGATTGAGTTAGGGCCAGACAGAGGGATCTGAAGATTAGACGGAGGGATGGGAAGAAAAATCACACACAGAATCTGAGCAAGTGAAATTGACGATGCTATGCCGGCCAGAGGTACAGAATCATGGACAGGATTGATAGGGTGGGAAGCGAAGGAAATCTGAGAGCCTGTCATACCTGTAAATCCGTAATGGTGAACTCCGCAACGCCTGCACAAGGACGTAAAGACAACACCATTGCAGAACGATCGCGAATGGAAAACTTCAGTAGCTGTCGCGGATTTGCCACTAAACATAGGTTCAGTAAGCGGTGGGAACGTGCGAACAATGTCGCACTCCATAAAGGAAAGAGAATGCGACCCCTACCGCTCTCATCAGCAACGACATTCCCAAGGTCCCCTGCGTGCCTCTCCTCGTCTTCCGGAGCTCCGTGAGTTTTATTCGCTGGGTTGAAGTGCGGGCCTGACGAAGAGCAACAAGAGGCGGAAACCGGCAGCGGAGGAAAAAAGGTGTGGTTGAGGAGACAACAGGGTGAGGTTGGGGTATGTCAGCGAATTTCCCTGTGACATGGATACGAATCGGCTCGAACAAGGCACGGACGGAAAAACGAAGAGCACGAGATTTACAAGACTTTAGGAAGCAAGAAAGACGTGTTTCTGTCGTCTGAGCAGACGCTGCATCGCGAATCAAGAAGCCACGAGCAACCTACGAGACTCGGAGATTAAGGACGTCAAAACGACACGTTATGCAGGACATTCGTTGCTAGAAGCTTGCGATAGGGATCCGACCTGTGGACATGCAGCCGTTCGTGGTGTCGCCCAGCGCGTGCACGTGGAATCCGTGAAGCCCGGGCTTCAGACCAGTGACCTTGCCGTTCACCACGGTCGAACCTGAAATCACGTTTCAATCATTCACAATCATGTTGCTAAAAACTGAAACACTGAAACTCTAGATGATGTTGTCATAACTTCGAAGCTGTCACTTGAAATTTATACCTAGAAATAGACGCGAGAGAATCGAGGAAGGTGAAAAGACTCACCAGATTCGAGCTGCTCAAAGGTCACGGTGCCATTGACACCCTCAGAGCCGGTAAGAACGACGACTGCCTTGATCGTCATGTTGGCTGGAGAACAGGAGCAGTTCTGCGCAGAGGCGGCAGCCAAGAAAGCCAGGCAGAGCACAACACACAAGCCAAGGGAAGCTGGAATTCTAAAATGCCACATTCTCCAGTGTTTTGTACTGCGGAGCTGATAGGAGCTTGAACCGTTGAGCTCGGAAAGTTCCAGTAACCAGTTGCTGCTTCAGGGGGGACGACAGCAAAATCGTCGCACATGCACAAATCCCCGTCGGAGTGAAAACGGCAGCTCAGCTCACCAGAAGATGTGGTGGTTCAAGTGTGGCGGCCGTCAGGTTTTGTTCGCTGCGTCTGTCAGCAAGAACTGGATCCTCTGCGGGTCAATGCTGGTCTGACCCTGTCATCGGTTCTCGAAGAGGAATCCGCGATTCGGCAGCCTCGCCGATGACGACTAGAAACTGACGGTGGGTTCGATGCATCCAGCCATGTTTGACGATAGGTTGACGGACTCCCGGGCACATGGGGTAGTCCGACAGAGCGAGCTTCGTTTTCCAGGTAAGGGCATCTACGTCCACCAGGTGAGTGGCAGCTCACCACTACAATTACTCTTAAACATACATGAACTTAGACCCACCGGTGTCCTGTCGTCGACGTGGGCCCCTTAGAGGGATTTGTTCCTAAGCTTGAGTGGCATGCGCGCGGTGAAGTTGCTAAATTGCGAGGCTAGAGCCATAGTTCAGTACAGCGCAATTCGAGCCTGGCATACGGTGACTTTGCCAGGAGAGCTGAAGAAGGCGAGGATGGTCAGCACTAGCCCAGGTACTTCCACACTAGGAAGAGGAAGCTTCAACCAGCCTTTTGGCTGCAGAAGGGTCCAATTGACTTCCCCAGCATCAAGAATTCAACTTTACTTCCTACAAGTCATCACCAGCCAGGGGGAACAAGGTAGCAACTGGCAGCTCCAAACCCCAAGTCTTCCCATCAAAGCAGGAAACCTCAAACCAATCCTATCCTTCGACGGCAAAAGGGTCGACTTCGCCCGGATCAGCTAGGAGATGAGGCAAGGACGCCATGTCTTCACCAGGAGGGGAGAAGAAGGTGGGTAAGGGCAGCTCCAAACCCCCAAACCTTCGCTACAAGAGGAGGAAACCCCAACGAAACCCTATCCTTCAGCCACAAAAGGGTCCACTTCGCCAGCATCCGCTAGGAGAGGAGGCAAGGACGCCAGGTCTTCACCATGAGGGGGGTAGAAGGTGGGGAAGGGGAGCTCTAACCCGCCATGCGCCACTGCATCTGGTCCCTGCATCTCCCACTTCCTCACTGCGTCCTTCACAAACACAAAGTTGCCACTGTGCCCGGGAACCTGCCCCTTCACCCACAGCAGCCCCCTGGCCGGCTCCACCTTGTACACCCATATGCTCTGCACCGTGCGCTGCTTGGCGCCCATGTGGCCCGCCATCTTCTTGTTCTTGAACACCTGGGGGGGGGGAGAGGGGGAAGAAGAAATCGGAAAATAAGAATGTGCCAAAAAAATGTGCGCGAGGTGGGCCGAAGATAAAGCAGCTCAAGATAAAACTAGCGGAAAGCTGCAAGGAGTGGGCTCTTGAGTGTGACGATGGGGTCTGAACGTGCTCCAAATGCTCTATAATCACTCTTGCTAACGTACCTTCCCGGGGTCCTGTCGGCCTCCAGTGGACCCATGGCTTCGATGGGAGAGCGACGCTCCGTGGGATGCCGGCATGCCCTTAAAGCCCCACCGCTTCATGGGACCCTGAGAAGAGGAAGGGGAGGGCGGGGTGGCAGGGTGGGGGGAAGGGGGGGGGGAGAGAGGAGGAGGAAAGGTGTGGGGATTAAGCGGTTATAACAGGAAGAAAAAGGTGCGCTGGTGAAACAGACGGAGCAGGAGATGAAGGAACCAGAAATACATGGCAGCAATAGCAGAGGGAACTCGGCCTGTCAGCGATGGTGATTGTCATGATGACAGTGTAACTAACCTGGAATCCCTTTCCCAGAGTGATCCCCGTGACGTCAACAAAATGTCCTGCTAGCAAATGCCTGACGTCATTGGGAGTGCCGACCGGCAGGCAAAACACAGTCCTCTGATACACGGAATCCCTGATAACCCACATGTCATACCTGGAGTCCCTGATAACCCACATGTCATACCTGGAGTCCCTGATAACCCACATGTCATACCTGGAGTCCCTGATAACCCACATGTCATACCTGGAGTCCCTGATAACCCACATGTCATACCTGGAGTCCCTGATAACCCACATGCCATACCTGGAATCCCTGATAACCCACATGCCATACCTGGAATCCCTGATAACCCACATGTCATACCTGGAATCCCTGATAACCCACATGTCATACCTGGAATCCCTGATAACCCACATGTCATACCTGGAATCCCTGATAACCCACATGTCATACCTGGAATCCCTGATAACCCACATGTCATACCTGGAATCCCTGATAACCCACATGTCATACCTGGAATCCCTGATAACCCACATGTCATACCTGGAATCCCTGATAACCCACATGTCATACCTGGAATCCCTGATAACCCACATGCCATACCTGGAATCCCTGATAACCCACATGCCATACCTGGAATCCCTGATAACCCACATGCCATACCTGGAATCCCTGATAACCCACATGCCATACCTGGAATCCCTGATAACCCACATGTCATACCTGGAATCCCTGATAACCCACATGCCATACCTGGAATCCCTGATAACCCACATGTCATACCTGGAATCCCTGATAACCCACATGCCATACCTGGAATCCCTGATAACCCACATGCCATACCTGGAATCCCTGATAACCCACATGTCATACCTGGAATCCCTGATAACCCACATGTCATACCTGGAATCCCTTTCCCACAGTTATCCCCGTGACGTCCACAAATTGGCCCGGTACGAAATGCCTGACGTCAATGGGAGTGCCAACCGGCAAAACACAGTCCTCCGACACCCGGAATTCCACCAATTTCCGTTTCAAGGGCACCCCAGCTGCCCGGAAATGACCCAGCTCCGGCTTGGTCAGCTGCTTAGGTTTTTTCTGCCCGGAACCGATCTGCAGCGACGTGTAGCCTTCTTTCTCTCTTGTTTTCACCTGAAAGGAGGGGAGATTGGGGAGAGAGGGGAGAAGGGGGGGGGGGGGGGGGGAGGGGGGAGAAGGGGGGGGAGAGAACAAAGGGGAACGATCTGCAGCGATGTGTAGCCCTCCTTCTCCCTTGTTCTCACCTGAAAGGAGTGGGGAGTGCGGGGATTGCGGGGCGTTCGGGTCGTTTGGGGCGTGTAAGGCGTGTGGGGAGGGAGGGGGGGAAGAATGGGGGAACGACAGACAGCTGTCATAAGGAGGGGCGCGTGTGTGTGTGATCTCAGGTTCGGTTCCGAGCCTGCGGTTTGTACCGTACCAGCTGTCATGGGGCGTATACTGTGTGTACTAGAATTACAGTAGCGCACTACTGTAGGCTCGACTAGGTACTAGAATTGAGTTGACCTCACACGTCCAAAGGTATTCATGAATACCTGCCCCACTCGTACCTGCCCCACTCGTACCTGCCCCACTCGTACCTGCCCCACTCGTACCTGCCCCACTCGTACCTGCCCCACTCGTACCTGCCCCACTCGTACCTGCCCCACTCGTACCTGACCCACTCGTACCTGCCCCACTCGTACCTGCCCCACGCGTACCTGCCCCACTCGTACCTGCCCCACGCGTACCTGCCCCACTCGTACCTGCCACAGGCGTACCTGCACGACTTGGTTGTCGTCTATCCAGAGCACTGTAACGGGGATCCTGACCCCCCACTTGTCCCACGTGGCAGTCATCCCGCATTTCACGGCGATCGCACCCGTGCGCACGGATCTCCCCGCGCTCAGCCCCTCCTCACCGTCATCCTCCCCCCACCCGCGGACTACCTCCTCCGCTTCCTCCGCGGCCGCGGCCGGAGCGGCGGAAGCGGCGGGCGTGGAGTGGAAGTTCCGCGCGTTAAGATGTGCAGCAAAAGCGGAAGCGGAAGCGGCAGCGGCGGGTGAGGGATGCGGAGGGGCAAGGAGCGCGGAGTGGAAACTCCGCGCGCTGCTGGGTAGCCCGGAAGGAAGATCAAATGTCAGAAGGCGGCCTGCTACAGCCGTCGCAGCTGCAATAACAGTAGCGTCCGATTCCAGAGGCGAAAGAGTGGGAGATGGGAAGATGGGATGGAGATGATTGGAGTTGTGATGGCTGGACGAGTGGAAGGTGGGAAGATGACGGTTCAAAGAGGGGTGCTTCGCGGTATGGCGGCTTCGCGACGCGTTTCTGGCGCTTTGAGCTGCTACGGAACCTAGTCGCCGGAACATGGTGACGACAGCAGGCGATAGTGGTGACGACAGCAGGCGATAGTACTGATGATCAGAAAGAGCGTACACGCTACGATGCTCGTTCGCCAGCAGGAATCGTGGACGACAACTACAGTAGTTCAGGATAACGGTCGGCGGCTCATGCTCTGATCGCTCGCCGTCTTGCCGCCAAAACCGCTATGGATTTGCGAGAACCACTTGTGATGAAGCGGAAAAGCTCATGGCAGAGAATACACGGTGTTGAGTGCTTCGATACGACGGTAACAACAACTCTGTAATATCGGAAGCGGAATTTTTTTACCCCGTGAGTAGCGCTCTCATAACAAGCCCGAAAAAACTCCCAAACGTCAGTACAGTAAATGTAACAGAATCTCCCCTTGTTTTCCCAGAGCTTCGGAGGCGAGAGGTTTTCATTGGCTCGCACACGTGCAAGGCGAATCGACCAGTCGTCATGCTGCAGATGCTGTCGCCGCCATGGAGTTGACGAAGGAAAGTAACTTCGTTCGACACGACTTTCGCGAAGGATATTCCCAGGGGCATATTTTAGGCTGAGCCTTACTTGCTCAGTGATGTATATAAATATCCAAGACTGACCAGCATATACATTTCGTTTCAGGCACCTAGTGTTAAGAAAATCATCGCCTACTCTGCTGTCCAGTTCTTCTGATAATCCTGGTCATTAGTCCGTACATGCTTTCAGTTTCTTCCTGCGAAGAAGCGTACTCCTGACGTGAGGAAGTATCTGTCAAGAAGCATAGAGGCTAAGCTCGTTTATCGGCCAAGAAGCTACTTCGTGGCCCATTCACGACACGTCCTAATCGTGGCTGCTTCTCTAGTGTTATCAGCTGCAGCGCGCTGCAAGCCAGCCGTTTATCGGACAAGAAGCTACGTCGTGGCCCATTCAAGACACGTCCTAGTTGTGGCTGCTTCTCTAGTGTATCAGCTGCAACGCGTTAAGATCACCCGCGATTCTTCGTACAGAGGCCGTCACTGCAAGCCAGCCGTAATACCCAAGGTCTCGTCCGACTGTGACCGACTGATACGGGCTCTCTGTTCGTCGGCCTCAGCTTTCTCCATGGCCCCGACGGAGTCATTCCGAGGCTGCTGCACACTGCCTTGTCGTCTCTTGAGTCGACTCAGAAGTCGTCGGCCTGAGCTTTCTCCATGCTCCTGAGTCATTTCAAGGCTGCGCACTGCCATGGCGTCCCTCGCCAGAAGGCGATGCCTCTCTGCATTCCTTCACGCCGCTGAAACCGCCGCGGGAACGCCTAAACGTCCCCCTAGACCTCCCCAGAACCGCCTCCAAGCCGTTATAAGCAGCTCCGTTAGCGCTTCCTGCTCCTTCAGCGGACGTCCCGAAACTAGTAGTTTCCGTGCCACCACCGGCGGCTGTGTGTTGCTACTCAACCCAGCATCCGCTCGAGACGCTGCTTGCCCAGTCAGCCCTTTTAGCCAGCACGAGCGAGCCTTTCCCGCCAGCCATGGACTTCCGAGACGTTTCAAAGGCCACGCCAGTCACGCGTGGCTGTTGCCAGCATCCCAGTGTTGCCAGCATCCCAGCATCCCGCCTATGGGAGCAAGCTCGTGTCAGCCACCCGAGACAACAAGCTCGTTACAAGCGTCGTTCCTACCTCGCAGATCATTCCAACCTTCCAGGTCGCTTTCAGTAGCGGCGCATTCGCCTGCTGCGTCTGCGTCGGCAGCAGTGGTGACCGGCCTGCCTGGAGCGGCTGAGCTGGGTGTGAAGGCGCTTCAACCCTCCAGGGGTGAAACCGCGGAGGTTGCAGGCGAGGCGGGCAGGTCGAAGCTGGTGGAGGCGTTTCAGATCCAGGTGAGCACTAGGCAGGGCCACATGGTCTGTTGCTCTCGAGTAAGCGTTTGAAAGCAGCACAGAACATGAGGCGAGGCGGGCAGGTCCAAGCTGGTGGAGGCGTTTCAGATCCAGGTGAGTTCCAGATCCAGGCGAGAGCTAGGCGGGTCTATACGGGATTCGGCTCTGACTGACAGGTGCCTCGTCTCTCTCCTACAAGGTTGCAGGCGGGGCGGGCAGGTCCAAGCTGGTGGAGGCGTTTCAAATCAGGTGAGCGTTAGACAGATGCACGATGGTGTTTTGAGATTTCAATCTCCGCCTGGTTCCTTGAAAGATGCACAACGGTGCTTTGAGATTCGATTCGCGGGTTCCTTGAAAGTCTGAGCGCATCTTTGAGACCCGCCTCGCTGCACACTGCACAGCCTTCCCGCTCTCACGTCATCCGCACCACTTTCTAACCCCACCCCCCCCTCCCCACCCCCACCCATACTCCCTTCCCGCCCCTGCAGGCGGCGTCTGACCCCATCCGCGGCTTCATGGTGGCTCTGCATGGTGTCACTTCCTCCCGACTCCCAACTCATTCACATCACTCCGATCTCACCTGTCCTATCTTCCTCCCCTGCCGCCCCTCCCCAACCCCCACACTCCCATCTCACCCCTTCCCTCTGCACCCTTTCCTGCAGGCGGCGTCCGACCCCATTCGCGGCTTCATGGTGGCTCTGCGCAAGTCAGAGCTCAGCTTTGAGACCGGCCTGGCGCTCAGGGACCTGCGGGTGGTGATATCCGCACTGCAGAACCAGGTGAGGGTGTGGTTGCGCTTCAAAGGAGTATGGATGCGACCTTTGGGGCGTCTAAAAGAGTGGTTAGCCTTGCGCTCAGGGACCTGCGGGTGGTCGTATCCGCACTGCAGAACCAGGTGAGGGCAAAGAGAGCAGCGAGAGCAGAAAGAGCAGGGGGAGCAGGGAGAGCAGGGAGAGCAGGGAGAGCAGGGAGAGCAGGGAGAGCAGGGAGAGCAGGGAGAGCAGGGAGAGCAGGGAGAGCAGGGAGAGCAGTGAGAGCAGGGAGAGCAGGGAGAGCAGCGAGAGCAGGGAGAGCAGGGAGAGCAGTGAGAGCAGGGAGAGCAGGGAGAGCAGTGAGAGCAGGGAGAGCAGGGAGAGCAGTGAGAGCAGTGAGAGCAGTGTGTGCAGGGAGAGCAGTGACCTAGTGTTAGGAGGTAGTAGCAGAGACCCCTTCTAAACAACACCGGCTTGGCCCTCAGTGACCTTGTGTGGGTGGTTATGTTTGTGCTGCAGAACCAGGTGAGTGCAATGCAACCTCTTAATGAAGAGACATTAAACTCGTGCAGAACCAGCCAGGTGACATTGGCCAACCAGGCCTCTTATTCTCCCTCTCCCCCCTTCCCCCCCCTCTCCCCTCCCCTCACCTTTTTTTCCTCTACGATTACTTCACTCCCAGGTCCCCACCATCCTCATCCGTCCACGGGCCAACGTGGTAAGTCTGGCGCTCGTGCGAGCTGTCATCACCGCCAACTGTGGCTACATCCTCAGCACCCCCCCTTCCTTTGCCGCCTTGTCTCCCATTCCCCTTCGTCTCTTCCCTCCCCCCCCTCCCCTTTCCCCTTCTTCTCTTCCCCCCCCCCCCCCCCTTCTCCCCGGTTTGTGACCATCTGCATCCCCAGATTCCCACGATTCTCATCCGTCCGCGCGCCATAGTGGTGAGTCTGGCGCACGTGCGGGCAGTCATCACCGCGAACCGCGCCTACATCCTCAACACCTCCTCGCCCCGCGTGCGCCAGCGCCTCATCCCCAACCTCCTGCGCCGCCTCTCCGCCTCCCAGTCTGCCGCTGCTGCTGCTGCTGCTTGTTCTGGGGGTGAGTCGCCAGGAGATGGTGAATGTAATTCCTGCTCTCCTGATTCCGCACATCCCTCCTCTTCCTCGCCCTCGTTTTCGGGCTCGGATCCGTTCTTCTCGGGTGCGGTGTCGGTGTTTTCCGACTGCGGGGGCGAGCCGGCTGGGAGAGAGGTGGGTGGATCTGAGGTGGGCCGGGAGCAGAAGGGGTGGCAGCAGCGGGAGCAGCCGCAGCAGCAGGAGCAGAGGCAGGAGTGGAATGAGCAAGCAAAAGAGGCACGGGGAGGGGACGACAGCAGGTGTTGGGAGAATGGGAGGGAGGTGAGGGGAGTGTGCGTGAGAGGACACGAGGACGAAGATGAGGAGGAGGAAGCGAGGACGCATGGAGAGAGAAGAGAAGGAGGTTTTTTAGAAGAGGAGAGGGAGGAGAGGAGAGATAGTAGGAGAGACGAACAGAGAGACAACAGGAGGGACGATAGGAGGGATGATGGGGGGGGTGATTGTAGAGGGGGGGATTGGGAGCAGGGGTGGCAGGAGGAGGTGTCTGAGAGGAGGAGGGAGGAATGGAGGGCGAGGAGGCAGAGAGAGGAGGAGAGGAGAAGGAACAAGCGGTGGCTGGAGGACCTCGAGAAGGAAAGCAAGGGAAGGTTCAGTGAGAATTCCAACGGGGAGGAGGAGGACGCGGATGGGCACCTGATTGGGAGTGACGGGCAATGGGAGCGGCATGGGGAGGTGTTTGTGGAGCTGACTCTGAAAGGGGGCCTGCCTTTGAAGACGGGCCAAAAGACGCAAGGGGAGGAGCTGGTGGCGGCCGGGGGGTCGGGGAGGAGACAAAAGAGAGAGCAAGAAGGGGGGTTGGGGACGGGAGTGGGTGGGGGAAGTGGGGGAAGTGGGGGGGGTGGAAGAGGGGTGATGTTGGCGCAGGAGAGTGGGGGGGAAGGGGGGGAACGACTGGGTAGAAGGGGAAGGAAAGGAGGGGTGGAGGAGGGGCGGGAGGCTGGGCAGACGAGTGAGGCCGCGGGAGAGGGTACTGCAGATGGGAGAGGGGGGGTGAGGGACGGGAGAGAGGGAAAAGGCTACCAAGGCAATCAAAGTGGCCAAGGCCCAGCGAACAACAACAGCAGCAGTCCCCTCAGCGCAGCAGCGTTGTCCCTCCCTAGGGTCGCGCCGACGCCGTTCGAGTTCCAGGTGCTAGAGGCCCTTTTGGACGAGGTCGGAGTGACCCTGAAGGTCAAGTACGCGTCCATATTCCCTGGCGTGTACCAGGGATTGAGGGCGTTTGCTGGGGGGCGAGTGCCGTACGAGCGGGCAATGGCGGAGCAGGAGGCGTTTCTGAGAGCCAAGAACGAGCTGCTGCGGCTGGAGATGAGCGCCAACCAGATCTGCAACGCCGTTCGCGAAGTGCTTTCTAACGACGAGGTGAGGGAGGGAGCTTACTGACTGTGGCATGGTCTAATGACAGAGATGGTGGGAGAGGGGACAGAGATATGCCTGAATGCCGTTGCTTTATCTGAGGCGCATGGAGGACGTGGTGGGGGAGGCGACAAAGATGCACCTCCCCTAGCCATGCCTGCTCCTCCCCTTCCACCGTCCCTCCCTCCTTCAGGGCTTGGCAGATGTGTATCGGTCGCGCAAGGCCTTACTGCCCCCCCCCGCCACGAACAGCGTGGAGCACAGCGAGGTGGAGGAGCTGCTGGCGGACTACCTGAGGCGCATGGTGTTGGTGGTGGCTTACATGTGTGCCCATGTTCCTTTGCCTGCCATTCCCCCCAACCCCACCACTACCCAGGACATGGCAGAGATGTACCTCTCAAGAGTGGCCTCTCTGCCCCCTGGCGCCAGCAACAGAGTGGAGCACAGCGAGGTTGAGGAGCTGCTGGAGGACTGCCTGAGGCGCCTCCTCGCCTCTCCATTCTTCCACCTTCCCTTCCCTCCCTGCTCTCCTGCCTCCCACCAGGACATGGCAGAGATGTACCTCTCGAGGAAAGCCTCTCTGCCCCCTGGTTCACCCAACAGCGTGGAGCACAGCGAGGTGGAGGAGGTGCTGGAGGACTACCTGAGCGGTGACTTACACGTCCGAGTTCCCCCTGCCCCAACGCCACCACTACCCAGGACATGGCAGAGATGTACCTGTCGCGCAAAGCCTCTCTTCCCCCAGGGTCAGTGAACAGCGTGGAGCACAGCGAGGTGGAGGAGCTGCTGGAGGACTACCTGAGGCGCATGGAGGAGGTGGTGGGGGAGGCGCAGCAGCTGCTGTCCATGTCCGACGCCACCTCGGAGTACCTCAGGACTGCACTTGATAGGTGAGTGAGTGAGTGGTGTGGGTGCGGTGCAGAGAAGTAGGCCCTCTATGGAGGAGGTGGGGGGGGAGGCGCAGCAGCTGCTGTCCATGTCCGATGCGACTTCGGAGTACCTGAGGACTGCACTTGATAGGTGAGTGAGACTGGTGTTTGGTATGTTTTCCATGTCCTTTGTCACCTTGGGAGGTGGTGGGGGAGGCGCAGCAGCTGCTCTCCATGTCCGATGCCACCTCGGAGCACCTGAGGACAGCGCGTGAGTGAGTGGTGCAGGTGGGGGGCTAAGGAGTAGGCCTACTATAGAGGAAGTGGTGGGGGAGGCGCAGCAGCTGCTCTCCATGTCAGATGCGGCTTCTGGGTGCATGACGATCGTGCATGACAGGCGAGGAGAGAGTGGTGGAGGTGGGGAACTCAAAAGTGAGCCTTGAGGTGGTGGGGGAGGCGCAGCAGCTGCTCTCCATGTCAGATGCGGCTTCTGGGTGCATGACGATCGTGCATGACAGGTGAGGAGAGAGTGGTGGAGGTGGGGAACTCAAAAGTGAGCCTTGAGGTGGTGGGGGAGGCGCAGCAGCTGCTCTCCATGTCAGATGCGGCTTCTGGGTACCTTAGAACCGCGCTGGATAGGTGAGTGAGTGGCATGGCGGGGGTGGCATGGCATGGCAACCTGTAACCGTTTCTGGGGAGCCTCTCTACCTCAGAGCACCTCAGCTTTTTCCGTCTTGCCTTGGTCTCCTCTCCCTGCCAACGCTCTGCAGTGCCGCACTGCCATCGAATATCGAGCCGTTTCTCAAGCCGCTGCCATCCGTTTCCGTGTGCCTTAGCTTCCCCCTCTCCCCTCTCTCCAGTGCGGGCAGTCAGCTCATTGAGCTCGCTGTGCTCGTCAACATGGCCCGGAGCCCGGTCAACATTCTCCAATTCCAATGGCGTTTCCATCGCTGCTGTTTCCTTCTTTCCTTCTACGCCCCTCTCCCTCCAGCCTCTCTGCAGTTCTCGCAATCGGCTCATTGAGCTCGATGTGCTCGTCAACATGGCCACATGCTCCAATGCCAATGGGTGTTCCATTGCCCCTTTTTCTCTCGTCCTTCTTGTCTTCCCTTCTCCCCTCTCTGCAGTGCGCGCAATCAGCTCATTGAGCTGGATGTGTTGGTCAACATGGCCACATGCTCCATGGCTGTTGGGGGCTCCATTGCTGCCATTTTTGGTAGGTTCTTTGCCGCGCGTCCGTAGTGCTTGTTGGGATAGGGTGGGGCAATGGATGGCACAATCGAATTATTGCATGTGCCTGTCTCAGCGTGGTTATATGCACTGTGGTGGTGGGTTGTTCCAAAGCAGCATTCGTTCTGTCCAGATTTCGCCTACTGCACCTGATCTCTTCCTCCCCACACTTGCTGTTCCATTGCAGGCATGAATTTGATATCCTCTTTGGAAGAAACCTCATTAGCATTTCCCATTGCAGCAGGAAGTGTTCTTTCAGTTTCTGCTCTTGTATTCCTGGGTCTACGAACATACGCTAGGCGACGAGGTATTACCGGTATGTGATAGGAATTCCCTTCGGCTATGATAAGTCGGTATTGTGAATTGCTTAGGTCCTTCTGAAAGGCAGTGTGCTTCATTTCATATAGGTAATCATACATCTTCTCGTCCAATAAGAATGAGTAGGGCGGGTGGCTGGGGAAACTCAAATGAGTGAACTAGAAATGAAGAACGTTGGTGAGGCCAAATGGCCTCACGTCCCACGTTTGTAATAAAAAATGGTCGGGGAGCGCTTCGCCGCTGCCTTTGCTGCGTTGGCCCTTGCTACACTTTCACAATACACATTTTTTTTTTTTTTAGAAAAGAGTTTCCCGCTTTCAAGAAATTACATTTTTACACAAGGAATCCATTATAGATATTCATCCTTTAGCCCAAATGTGTTTCTGTGAAGTAAATCTCTGAAGTGCATGCCCGTTACGCTCGGAGGTTGGGTGTTATGCATTAATCAGAGTAATAACGGGGAGTGTAATAAAGGAGTCGTAATTCAAGAGTGTGGATACAAATGAGGGCCGAGGCATTTTTAGGCATGAACAGGTTGGGGCGGTTCGGTTGGCGAAAGCCATGGAAATGCTGCTCGTCGAGGTTTGGGTTCGCAAAATGGTTCGGGACGGAAGAAGTTGGCCAAGCCTGGACTTCCGAGATTCGAAGGCGTACGCCCTGTAGTCGAGCCCAGTAAGGAAAAGGGATTTCCTTACACCACCCCCACTTCCGGCACGAGACTACCCACATCCGGGACACGTCGTCGGTGTAAATAGTCCCAGACGACTTTGTGTTCGCCGAGCATAGCTGCGGGGACCCAAAGATCGTCGTCAGTCGTGCGATCGACCCATCGTACAGGCAAATCAATGGCTGCTGTATCTCGATGGCCTCATACCTGATGAGCGAGAATCTTGGATGGCTCGATCGTTGGCTCGGGTAATGGGTTGACCGTAGGATTGATGTGTTGACGGTCGAGATTGGTCGTACTCGGGACGAATGGTCGCAGGAGACTGACGTGGAACAAATCATGGATTCGCCAGTCGGTCGTCAGTTGCAGCTGGGCGATGACTGGTGTCACCATGCGGATGATGCGGAATGGGCCGCAAAATCTTGGTCAAAATTTGTTTGGGAGGGGGATTCCCAAATTTCTGGTGTCGAGCAGGACCAATTGCCCAGGGGCGAGCATTAATTCTCGGCGTCGTCTGCCAGCTTGCTGCTTAGCCCTCTGATTGGCTTTGAGGATGGCATCGGCGACTTTTTGCTGAGACTGTCAGAGATTTTCGACGAACTGTTGAGATCTTGGTGTCGGGTTTTCTATCGGGGGCGATAGAGGGGTTGTCGGGTCTATCCCATGATTAAGGAAGAACGGGGACTGAGTAGTCGCGGTCGATGTGGCAGCGTTGTACGCAAACTCGATCAAAGGAAGCGCGTCTTCCCATTGGGTCGGGTCTGTGCATGTCGTGCGAAATAGCTGCTCCATGGTCTGATTGGTGTGCTCAGTCTGACCGTCCGATTGCGGGTGGTACGCCGTGGACAAGTGCAGACATGTGCCGTAATGCTGCCAGGTTTTTGTCCAAAAGTTGGACGTGAACCGTGGGTCACGATCGCTGATGATTGCCGAAGGGATGCTGTGTAGCCGCACGATGTTCGTGAGGAACAATTACACTGTCTGCTCGGCAGTAATTGTCATCTTGCAGGCAGCGAAGTGGGCCATCTTGGTCAACCGGTCAACGACGACGAGAATCGTGTCGTTACCACTTGGACCAGCTGGCAGGCCAGTGACGAAATCCATTGTCACTTGTTGCCAGGGTTGGCTGGATGGCTCGAGTGGTTGCAGCAATCCAGCAGGTCGAAGCCGAGAAGACTTCATGCGTTGACACGTGGCGCAGGAGGTGGCATACTGCTGCACGTCTGTCGGCAAATTGGGCTAGTAATAATTACGGCTTAGTAATTTGGCGGTTTTGTCGAAACCGTAGTGACCCAAGAAATTCGAGTCATGTGCCTCTTGGATCAGTAATTCCCGTAAGGTACGGTAGGCGGGAACCCAAATCCGATTGGTACCGGATTTTATGTAATAGGCCCTTTGCTTGTCCGTCAGTTGGGGATGACTGTCAGTGGTGAAGAATGGATCAGTACTGTATCAGTGGGTGAATAGGCCAATTAGCAGCGGATTAGCTTGGGTAATTAGGATGGCGGCGGTGTGGACTGAAGGGCGGGTCAGTGCGCCAGCGATGTGACTAACCCCCCGTTTGTTGGTGACTCTGTAGTGGAAGTTTGACTCGAGGTAGTAAAGCCGGCGAATGTGTCGGGGATTCAGTGTATGAACTGTAGCGACTTGTGGTCTCTTCGGACTGTGACGTCAGCGCCTGTCAGGTAGTAGCGCCAGACTTAGAAAGCGTGAACGATGGTGAGTATTGTGATGGACATGATAATTTCGCTCGGCCGGGTTCAGCTTTTGTGACTCGTATGCGATGGGTTGGAGGCCTTCGCCGAAGTCTTGTAACAGGACTGCGCCAATGGCCAGGTTGCTAGCGTCGGTGATGAGCTCGAATGGACGGCGAGGATCAACAATCTGAAGAACCGACGGTGTAGTCAGGAAAAGTTTGAGCTTTTTCGAACGCAGCCTGCTACTCTCCCCCCCACCCATAAAACGTGTCATTCTTCAGGAGATCTGTGAGAGGGAAAGATACCCCCGCCATGTTCGGAATGAAACGGCGGACGTAATTAACAAACCCCAGAAAACTCTGAAGTTCGCGTAGATTAGCCGGCTGCTTCCAGTCTTGGATGGTCGCAATTTTCTTAAGGTCGATTTTAGCACCGTCGGTAGAAAAGACGTGGCCCAAAAACTCCAGTTCGTGTTTGAGAAACTCGCACTTAGAGCCCTTGGTGAGGAGTCGGTGCTACTGGAAGAGAGAGAAAGCTGCTGTCAAATACTGCAAATGCTGCTCCCTGGTGGTGCTGTAGACCATGATGCCATCGAGGTACACGATGACGCGCTTATCCAGCAGCGGTCGAAAAACCTCGTTCATGGTTAACTGGAACGTCGAAGGTGCGTTTGTTAAGCCAAAAGGCATAACCGTGTACTCGTAACTCTCGTACCGGGTCCGAAACGCCGTCTTGTAGCACTCAGCTTTGTTCACGCGGATTTGGTGGTAACCGCCTTGCAGGTCAATTTTTGAGAAGAATTTTGCTCCACGAAGTTGGTCGATGAGTTCCTCGGCATGCGGGATAGGATAGCGAGGCTAGAATGGTAGCCCGGTTTAAGGCGCGGTAGTCAATACACATTCGTAGACTGCCATCTTTCTTCGGGGTGAATAGGATCTGAGCTGCAAACGGTGACATGCTGGGGCGAACGAAACCTTTCTCGAGCAGATAGTCTAGCTGGCGTCGAAGTTCATCCAGCTCGGGCTGAGTCAGCCGCCACTGAGTATGAAAAGAGGGCTGCGCGCCAGGCTCCAGCTCGATTTTGTGGTCATGTTCTCGCTCAGGTGGCAAACCCGCCGGTAGCTCGTCGGGAAAATGTCGGCATGCTTTCGAATCACCATCACCAAATCATTCAGGACAGCTGCGCAGAGTTTGTCGATGTCGGTCGGCGTGTCGACAGCCGTTGATGCAATCCATCGGACGGCGTACAGTTGCGCCCCTCTAATCATGGCTCGCTTGATTGTCACCGCGCTGACCGTCGATGTGGTCGAATCTTGGCAGCTCCATTTTGGTATTCGTCGCCACTCGCCACTCCATTTGATACGACAATCGCCCGTTTGCCAGTCAATGCCCGGGTTGTATTCGCGCAGCCAATCGCGTCCCATCAGCATGTCGCAGCCGTCCAAAGTTGTCGCGGGCACCTTCATCGTGAAACTGAAAATTTCGCCGCATGTTACTCGCACGTGAGGTACCCGCTCCCGAATCGCCAGTGGTGTGCCGTCGACCAATCTCGCGTCGATTTCGGGCATGCAGCGCTCCAGCTGCAGTCGCAACTTTTTCGCCTTCGTCGCGTCCATCAAACTGTGGCTCGCCCCACCATCAACGAACATTTTGATGCGGGTGTCGCCAACTCTTCCTTCAACCTGCACATGGCGATCAACCGGTTCACCCCCCTTATTCAGCCAGGAATGGTCGATAGCCCAAATCGGCACTATAACCTGGTGGGGGTGGTGGTGTTTGGGCGACGCAGTCAAGTCAGTAGGTGGCCCATCTGCTATTGACGATCTCCATTTTCCAACTGCTTCTTGTCGTTGGGTAAGTTCTTCTTTAGCTGCGGGCAGTCCCTCACCATGTGACCCAGTTGGTTCCCGAAAATACTCGGGCTGCAAACACGTCAACGTCGTTGATTGATGTGTTTTGGGGCTGGCCTCGAAAGAGATTCCCCTCCCAGAAACCCGCTCTCGCGAGTCCACGTCGTGCGTCCAACGCGTCTGCTATGCGAACGATTTCGTTGAATGTCGCCGGGGCTCGCAGGGCGTTCTCTTGCTGAATCTCTTGCTTGAGACCACCCACGTAGCGATCGATGCGCTCGTCTTCGCTAAGCCCTCCGATTTGGTCGCAGATTGCCAGAAATGACGCCGTGTATTCTTGAACAGAGCCCAACTGTCTCCACATCCGAAGCTTTGTGCGAGCATTTTCGCGTATGGATATGTGCTCGAATTTGCCCTTCAACGCTTCGCCCCACGCTTTCCACGTGCGGATCGTGGCCGACCCAAACATCGGTTCTGCCTTCGCCGTTGATGAACTCAGCTCCCTATCTACCGCCCGTTGATTCCCTGCCAGGGATCCTCCCTTGTCTAGATGCATGCGCCACCAGTCGAGTGCCGGTCCCCTCAGCAGAGACACAGCCAAGTTGACAAGTCATGCATTGTCATTAATACTTGCTGCTGTGAAGAAGATTTCCATGGCGAACAGCTACCCGCTCACTGTAGTTGTCCTGTCGGTCGGGTTGAAGGGTGGTGGCATCGGAGGCTTGATTTTAATGGCCGCCCGCGGCTCGCTGTGGACTTCTTCAACTGCTTCAGGTGCCGCCGACGCCCTCGCTTCGCTCGCAGCATCTTCGTCTCGGGTAACAGGCCACCGCTACTGACGCGTTTCACCCCGCGTCTGGCGAAGCGACGCGTTTTCGTTGCGCAGCGTCTGTACTTCGCTTCCCAGCGACTCAAACTTATCGGCGATTTGTTGAAGTTGGGCCTGCAGTGTCGTCACTGTAGCCGTACTGGCTTGCAGCTCGTCAAAACTCCTCCTGAGTCACGTTCCTAACACTACGACGGGCAGAGGTTTCCGGCATGGTAGTCGTGCTGGAAATTTTACGTGACAGATCTGAGGGTGCACACGCTTTTAGTTGGAGGGGCTTTAACGAGCTCACCTACCAACCGCAGGCCAACCCTGTATTCTGTCGGGTCCTCTCCTGATATAAACGGACTACTCTACGGAAGACGAAGCGGGCAGGAACGGAACTCTGATACCAGCAGTTATGAATTAATCAGAGTAATAACAGGTAGTGTAATAAAGGAGTCGTGATTCAAGAGTGCCGATACAAATGAGGGCCGGGGCATTTATAAGCACGAACAGAGCTAGCCGAGAACCACGCGAACATGTTGGGGCGGTTCGTTTGGCGAAAGCCACGGAAGTGCTGCGAGTCAAGGTTTGGGTTCACGAAATGGTTCGGAACGGAAGAAGTTGGCCGGGCCTGGACTTCCGAGAGTAGAAGGCGTACGCTGTAGTTGAGCCCAGTAAGGAAAGGGGAATTTCCTTATATTTGGAATCCATGCCTCTTCTAGCCTGCCAGGCACGGGGAAATGCCTCTTCAAATCAGCTCTCGGGCAGCTTTCTGAAAATTGGGGAGGCTGGTTTGACTTGGCTGACGTGGCATGGCTGCACTGCTCTGCTGCTGGTGGTCAGAGGGGCCACAGAAAATGCCTAGGAATGAGGGCGTGTTTAGACACTCGAGGGACATCATGACGCTCGAGGTGCTGATTTTATCTCAGAACACGGGAACTCCAGAGACATTGCTGCTGTATTTTCCATTGCGTGCCAGGCGGTCCCCATTTGACCCGACAAAGTGTAGGATAGAACACGTCCACGAACCGAACCCAATCCATTGTTGAATTTCACGAGGGCCTGGGCAGTGGCCGAGCCAGCAGTGCGTGGCGTGTGGACAGAAGGCAACCACCCCCAACCACAAGGCTCGACAATATTGAGGGGCTCGCCAGGCCAGCAAAAAGCGGAAGGGTGGACAGCAACGAGAGCAATTGCTGAGCTCGGTTGGATTCGATTGGACTAGATACTGGTATTCGTCAGAGGGTTTTGGCTGGGTTGGGCTGGTTTGTGTGGATCAGTTCGGTAATCTCGAGGCAATTCATGCACGATCAGGGTGTGACGTAATCCCATTCCAGCTTCATGCACGAAGTCACCCTTTTCAGCAACCACAATTGCCAAATTGCTCGAGTTTCGAAATGCGACGGCCATAACCAGCTCCCTCTGAGCCTGATGATCCTGATCTTTGTCGTAGCCTTCGACGCTTTCTCTCTTTCTGGTGGGATAGTTGGCGAAGAAGCTCAGTTCTGAGAGCGAGATTTCCCGTGGTCGATCTCCGTCTTTTCCCTTTTTCCTGAACGAAAATTTCCTTTCACCGAGGAGCGTTGTTGTGAGTCCCGCGATCGTGTGACTCAATTGTTAGCACCACAACTCGCTCTTCTCGACTGCGCTGCTATCACTTGCAGTCTAGAGATGTCTCTCCCTACTCACGCAGTGTCGGCGTCCAGACTCCACAGCTTGCCAACACTCCAGGCAGCTTGCATATCCGCTAAGTCCTCATCTCCCAGCTGCTTCCGAAAAAGCTTCGTCTCCGCGCCGTTGCCTATCGGATGCGTCAGGAAGCCCGCGTCAGCAGCTGTTAACTGCAGCCCTGGAAGCAGCAGCATTAGCAGGCAGCGGCGACGGGTGGGAGGGAGAGGCGTGGTCGCAGCCAGCCCTCCCACGGAGGAGGTGGAGGTGCAAACCGAACCGTTGACCAAGGAAGACCTGGTCAACTACCTGCGGTCCGGCTGCAAGCCCAAGGATAAGTGGAGGTAAGCGATGGCGCTTACAATTAGATCGTAGACGGGACTATTATGGGGGGTTCTAGGGTTTTGCGGGATATACCGACGCTGTAGCTACTGTCTAACTGCTGATCCGCTTCATGAGATTCAAAATTGAAATGACATAAATCAGTAGATTGCGTCCTGATTCCTTTTAGTTTTCTCATATTTCCCCCTCTTTCCAATGTACGCTTTACAGGATCGGCACGGAGCACGAGAAGTTCGGGTTCGACCAGAAGACGCTGGAGCCGATGAGCTACGAGCAGATCGCGACGCTGCTGGAGCACATCGCGGACCGCTTCTCGTGGGACAAGATCATGGAGGGCGATAAAATCATTGGATTGCGATCGGTAAGTGTTACGTAGTGTAGTGTAGTGAAATGAAGCGGAGTGTAGCCGAATACTGGACCTTATGAGGCTTATTCTCGTGGAACAAGATCATGGAGGGCGATAAAATCACCGGGCTGCGATCGGTAAGTCGAAGTGTAGTGTAGTGTAGTTAATGTAGTGTAGTGAGTCTTCCCAATAGCTTATTCTCGTGGAATAATATCATGGAGGGCGACGGATTATCGGCCTGCGATCGGCATGTTATGCAATGTAGTGTAGTGCTCTTCAATGTTGGCAACACATGACACGCATGTATGTATGAGGGGCCACAGAGAGCGACAGGATTATTGGCGTACGATCGGTATGGGATAGTGTATCTCAATTCCGACAAACCATTGGAAGGACCAAGTTCGGAAATTTACCGAACCGATCCTCAGATTTATGTCTGTCATCATCATTAATCTGCGCTTGGTGAGAAGTAGACGAGCTTTATGTTCGAGTTCGATGTTCAGAAGCATACAGGGACAAGCGTATAGGGAGGCTGAATCGAACTTAACAACCAAGCTCCAAGGTCCAACCAGGCACAGACTCGCCGCTTTTTGAGGCGTGTTGAGGGAGACTTGTCCATGAATTGAAATAATATCATAAAGTCAACCACCTGATTGGAAAAGAAAGAAAAATCGTGGACAGAGCTCGCGCCATCGGGTTTCCATTCTGCATGCGCTCATTTCCCCTCCTCCGTATCCCTGTCCCTCCGCCCTGGATGCCTAACTGCATCTCCCTTGGCATTTGCAAGCGGAATCCCTCAATCTCCTCCTTCCCCTCCCTCCCCAAAACCCCCGCACCCGCTGAATCCGACCCCCCTGGGCAGAACGGGCAGAGCGTGACGTTGGAGCCGGGGGGTCAGTTCGAGCTGAGTGGCGCGCCCCTGGAGACGGTGCACCAGACGTGCGCTGAAGTCAACGGGCATCTGTACCAGGTACTTCCGACCCTTGCTGCAGTCATTCGGGTGGGTACTATCACAGTCACTTCTACACCAGGGAATCTTACCTGAGTGGCGCGCCCTTGGAGGCAGTGCACCAGACGTGGGGGTGATGTCAAGGGGCATCTGTACCAGGTATTGGCAGCGTTCGTCTTGTGGGTAGCATTCCAGTTGATCTCTAAAATTACCAGGTATTGGTGTAGTGGCCCTTTTTGGTTGCTGACCTGAGTTGCTCTGTCTGACTGCATGTGGCTTGTGGGTGGGTGGCAGGTGAAGTCGATCTGCGAGGAGGAGCACGTGGGGTTCCTGGGCCTGGGTTTCAACCCCAAGCACACCCTGCAGGAGATCCCCATCATGCCCAAGGTGAGATCTCACTGTAAGGAAGGTCATACATTTATGAAGTGTCTTGGGCTACAGGTGGCTGAGCCTGCCCCAAGCACACCCTGCAGGAGATCCCCATCATGCCCAAGGTGAGATCTCACTGTAAGGAAGGTCATACATTTATGAAGTGTCTTGGGCTACAGGTGGCTGAGCCTGCCCCAAGCACACCCTGCAGGAGATCCCCATCATGCCCAAGGTGAGGCACACATCGGGTGTTACTATACGAAACTGTTTCATATCTTTTGAGTCGACTCAAAAGCAGATTCATATCATGTGCAACGGTGTGGCCAAGGAAAATTGCCCTGGGATTGCTAGTCCTGAAGACTGTAGTCTGGACTTCAGGCCGTCCTCTCATTCCCTTCTCTCCCCCTCGCTCATTTCCTATCCGCCTCCTTATGTCCCAATCTCAGGGTCGCTACACCATAATGCGCAACTACATGCCCATGGTGGGCTCGCTGAAGCTGGAGATGATGGCCTTCTTTCACTCGCTGATCTCTCCAATCCCCCCTCCCCCCCCCGCCCCCCCCCTCCCCATCTCCCCTCCCCCTACGTCCCCTCCTCCTCTCCCCCCCACTTTCCTACGTCCCCTCCTCTCCCCTCCTCTCCCCTCCCTCCCCCTCTTTCTCTTCCTGTCAGGGTCGCTACACCATAATGCGCAACTACATGCCCAAGGTGGGGTCGCTGGGGCTGGAGATGATGTTCCGCACGTGCACCGTGCAGGTCAACCTCGACTTCGACTCGGAGCAGGACATGGTCGACAAGTTCAGGGTCGGCCTGGCGCTACAGCCGGTGAGTATTTGTTATGCTACAGCCAGCCAGAAGGGCGCGTGCACGGTGCGTGCAGGCCAACCTCGACTTTGGCTCGGAGCAGGGCGTGGTCGACAACTGCAGGGCAATGCTGCCGCAGCCTGTGAGGCACATTCGTTCGTGCATCATGGGTTCAACTCGACCACCTCACACATACAAGTTACAACCTCTACACACGCACCTCGCACCCTCGTACTAGTTTCCTCACCCCCGCCCCTTTCTCCGTTTCTCATACTCTTTCCCCCTCTCTCCCCCCCGTTTGTTTCTCCTCCTGCGTTCCACCAGGTTGCCACTGCTTTGTTCGCCAACTCGCCCTTCCTCGAGGGCAAGCCCAATGGTTACCTCAGCTACCGCAGGTGAGCACGCGAGGGTGGCTTGGGTATCAATCCAAGGGCTCAGGTATCAATCCAAGGGCTTAGGAAAAAAACCAGCAGCAGTACCTCTATCCAAGCCTCTTGCTTTTATTGAAACCCTACCCCAACCCCCTGCCCCATGCCTCTTGCTGTCCCTGTTTTCTCTTCTGCAGTCGGGTGTGGGAGGATACAGACAAAGACCGCACAGGGGACCTTCCCTTCGTCTTCCCTGTCACAGCATGTGTTGCCCTCTGCTCATTTCTCTGCTCCTTCTCCCCTCACTCCACCTCGACTCCCCTTGCAGTCGGGTGTGGGAGGACACTGACAAAGACCGCACGGGGGACCTTCCCTTCGTTTTTGAGGACGGCTTTGGGTAAGTGTCACGCCTCTCTGCATGTTGTGCCCCTCGTTTGGGTAGGGGCAGCACAGGCTTCGGTTTATTCTTCTCCCTTTCAGCCTGTCTGCTGTCTCTACTCCTTTTGAGGCGCCTCAAAAGCCGACCCGCCAGTCCAGGATGCATGTTCCCAGTAACGGAATTGGGTGTGTGTCTGGCTGTGTCTCTCTCTGTTTTTTTTTATTCCCTGGTCCCGGTTCGAGCGCTCTGTGGAGTAAGCGTTGCACGTGCCCATGTAATGGTCGCTATGTCTCTCTGTCGTTTTCCTGTCCTGTTTCCCAGGTTCGAGCGCTATGTGGAGTATGCCTTGGACGTGCCCATGTACTTTGCGTACCGTGACCAGCGCTACATCGACGCCACAGGGCTGTCCTTCAGGGTGAGCATGGGTGATGGTGAGGTGAGCATGGGTGATGGTGAGTAGGAGGTGTATGTACGCGCGGCTGAGCTCATGTGCCCATGTACTTTGCTTACCGCGATCAGTGCTACATCGACGCCATGGGGCCCACCATCAGGACTTCCTGAACAGCAAGCTGCCTGCGCCTCTTGACTTGACTAAACCTTCTCCTTGCTTTTCCCTGCCCTCCCTCCACCCTGCCCTCCGTCACGCCCTGCTCTCCACCCTTCCACCAGGACTTCCTGAATGGCAAGCTGCCTGTGCTGCCCGGTGCCTATCCCACCCTGAACGACTGGGAGAACCACCTCACCACCATCTTCCCTGAGGTATTCTTGATGTTTGAGTGGTTGTACTTGGTCTGTACAAAACAAACTCACCACCATCTTCCCGGTCCCGGAGGTATGTATATTGATGACGTCGTAACGAGGTGACTTTTGAGGCGACTCTGAAGGCTCCCTGTGCTGCTGTGAGTCTACCCCACCCTGAACGACTGGGAGAACCACCTCACCACCCATCTTTCCTGAGCTACAGTTTTCGAATGAAAGATGGAAGAAAACATTTTATTTGCCGGCCTTGATTTCACCCTAGTTAGACCGTTCCAGTATGTGACCACTACTCCCTGCTGTAACCCCCCCCCTTCTCCCCTCGTTTCCCTAACTCCCTCTCGCTGGGGGTGGGCTTGCACTTCTTGTATGACAACCAACAATCGCAGCTGAATGTTCTGAAACGTCTCCGAGCATGCTCCCTGCCCCACAAACAATCCTGAAATGAAAACCCCCCTTCAGGTGCGGCTGAAGCGGTATCTGGAGATGCGGGGCGCGGATGGCGGGTCGTGGAGGAGAATATGCGCTCTGCCCGCCTTCTGGGTGAGTGTGTGTGTGATACGTGCTCGCCTTCCGGGTGAGTGCATGCCACCCGCTTGCTTTGCTGGCGAGACTCTAATCGCTCCCTGCTTTCTGAAGTGATGTTTTAGGTGAATATCTCTTCTCCCTTCCCCCTCTCCCCACCCCCCCCCCCCCCCCTCCTCCCTGTCCCTAGGTGGGTCTGCTGTACGACCGAGAGTCCCTGGACGCATGCAAGCGAATCATCTCAGACTGGACCGAGCTTGAACGCTCCGCCCTGCGCACGCATGTGAGTTGTAGACGGGAAATGAGTGGAGAGTGAGCGGTCCTAGCTTGCTTGCACACATGTGACTGGACTGAGCTTGAACGCTCTGCTTTGTGCACACATGTGAGTCAAGGATGGGAATTAGGGAAATTAGGGGACCTGGCTGTTGTTCTCCTCCCTGCCCTTACTGCCTCTCTCCTGCTGCCCCAATGCGCTCCCCCTTCCATCCCTTCTCACCCCCCCACCCACTCTCCTCGTCCCCTCCCCCTCCCTCCTCTTCCCCCCCTCCACCCCCTTCCTGCACTCTGCAGGTGCCTCGCATGGCCCTCAAAACCCCCTTCAGGGAAGGTCTGCTGCAGCATCTGGCACAGGACTTAGTGAAAATCAGCAAGGTGAGTCCAAATGATCTGTGAATGTGCATTGTCTGGAATCGATTTTTGAGGCGCCTCAAAACCATGCGTGAGTGAGGAGTCTATTTTTGAGGCGCCTCAAAAATAGACTCCTCACGCCTGAAACCGATTGCTTCATTGGGTGTCTCTCTGTGGCTGGATGTGTGCTTCCACATGCTAATGTGTTGCTATCATTCCGTGTGTGTCTTCTTTTCTCAGGAGGGGCTGCAAAGACGAGGCTACAGGGAAGCCAACTTCCTCAAAGAGCTGGAGAACATCGCCGCTACAGGTACAGTGCTGCTGATGTGCTGCTGATGCGCTTGCGCATGTGCGTGCGCTTGCTGGTATGCTTGTTGGCTACATGAACATACTTGTATGTACAGAGAGGATAACTTCCTCGTGGGTGAGGAAGGTTTGTAAAGACGAGGAGCTGGAGAAGATCCACGAGGACAGGGAAGCCAAACTTCCTCGCAAGGAGCTGGAGAACATTGCTGCTACAGGTACAGGCAGTCATAGTCAGGGGGCTATTGCGGGGCCTCCGTAATATCTTGATGCGCTTAAAAAATTATCTCAGTTTTGAGGCGCCTTCCTCAAAGAGCTGGATCCACCCCCCCCATCCCCTCGATACACCTGTGCTTCCATCCCACACATTGTGTCCGTTCCCACACGATCCCTGTATGGCATGCAGAGCACATCTTTCGTACAACAAATAGCTCCCCTCCCCTCGCACGCATTCGGTCCTCCCCACGCCAACCCTGCGTGGCATGTGGAGTTTGTGTTTCTCCTTGAGACACCTCAGTACTTCGCTTCCCTGCCTGACATTCTGTCTGCCCCGTGTCATCCCGGCATTGTCCTCCCCATGTCATCCCGGCATTGTCCTCCCCATGTCATCCCGGCAATGTCCTCCCCATGTCATCCTGGCATTGTCCTCCCCATGTCATCCTGGCATTGTCCTCCCCATGTCATCCGGCATTGTCCTCCCCATGTCATCCTGGCATTGTCCTCCCCATGTCATCCTGGCATTGTCCTCCCCATGTCATCCCGGCATTGTCCTCCCCATGTCATCCTGGCATTGTCCTCCCCATGTCATCCCGGCATTGTCCTCCCCATGTCATCCCGGCATTGTCCTCCCCATGTCATCCCGGCATTGTCCTCCCCATGTCATCCCGGCATTGTCCTCCCCATGTCATCCCGGCGTTGTCCTCCCCATGTCATCCCGGCATTGTCCTCCCCATGCCATTCCGGCATTGCATGTGCATCACATCTATTAGGAGCTCATCTTCTAGCTAGTAACGCATCATCATCCCTGCATTGCATGTGCTGTGCACCACTCCCCCACCTTCCAGGCATCACTCCAGCTGAGCGCATGTTGGAGGCGTACCATGGCAGGTGGGGGGAGAGCGTGGACCCCATCTATAAGGAGCTCATCTACTAGCCATCCTTTTGAGAGACCTGCAATCTACAAGACGCTCATCTAGTAGCTTGTACTGTACCTAGGATATCGTTAACATGCTGCTCGTCGGACGAGTACTTAACATTCTTCCAATGCATGTACCATTGGCTCTCGTAAGAGCTGGAGGGAGGGAGACCCTTGGCTTTGCATGTGTAGTAAAGCCTTATGAACATGCCTTCATACATCTCTATCAGCGGGTCTCACTAGGCTGGATAGCTATCATCATAAACTAACAAACAGTGAAATTTATGAATAGAGAGGGAGAGTACACAAACATATACCTAAATGTTGTACTCTCTAGAAGATAACCCTATATAGTCTATACAAGCATGATAACTAAACATGTTTGACACACCCCCTGGACTGCATAGGGGAATGTTCTAGACAAGCAGCTCAGGGTGGCACTACTAGTCCAGCCTCTGAGACAAGGGTCTAAAAGACCAGTCAGAAGGAGTACAGGCAAGGCAAGAACTAGTACAGGGCGGCACTACTAGTCCAACCACTGTAAGAGGACACAAGTCCGGTCTGAGTGTACACACAGATATATAGGACAGTACAGAGTCAAGGCCCGAGTAAGTGAGAGACTACAGGAACCAGACCAAGCTGCACACAGTGCCGCTGATGATCTTTAGGCGCAAGCGCCTTCGTAAAGATATCAGCTGTGTTGGCACCGGAGGCTAAGTGTACTACGCGAGCCTGGCGACGCTGCTGTAGCTCACGCAGGAGGAAGTACCGCAGCTGGATGTGCTTCGCTCTGCCCTCGAGTCGAGGCTCCTGACACAGGAGGATCATGGCCCTGTTGTCAGCGTACAGGACCGGGGCAGAGCTAGGCGCTCACCTAAGTCAGTGAGCAAGAAGGTCAGCCAGCGGAGCTCCTGTGCCGCCATGGCACCGGCGTAGATCTCGGCCTCACAGCTGGACTGGGCAACAGACGAAGAGCGGGTAGCTCTCCACGAGACAGCACCTGAACCAAGGCTAAAGCAGTAGCCCTGGGAAGACCTGAGCGTCTCGGCGTCGTCTGCCCAAGAAGCGTCTGTGTGTCCAGTAAGGACCACTGGCCTGCGTCCGCCTAGCACTAACCCCATGCCCGATGTACTTGCAAGATAACGCAAAACCCTCTTAGCGGCAGACCAGTGCTGAGGTCGGTGCCTGCCTGTGGCCACGAAACGAGCCAGGATGCTGAGAGGGTATGCGAGATCTGGGCGAGTGCAAGTCATCAGGTACATGAGGCAACCCACTAGCTCAGCGTAAGGACCACTGGGATCTACCGACTCCTCAGGAACTGGAGCGGAGAGTCTGTGGTCCAGAGGAAGAGGGGTGGGCTGTGCGGAGGAGAACTAAAGGCCAAACCTCTGAAGGACCTGGCGCACCAAGTGTGACTGAGTCAGGGTGATGGTGCGCGCGGCTCTGTCCCTGGAGATCTGCAAGCCAAGGTAACGGCGCAGCTCTCCAAGGTCAGTGCAGGTGTGTCTCTTCAGCAGCTCTGCCTTCACGGAGGCCAGTGCGTCCCTGTCAGCAGTGGCAAAGACCAGGTCGTCTACGTAGACGAGGATGTAGAACGGAGTCGAGCCAGCACGAACGAAGAGCGAGGGGTCTGCAGAGGACGGAAAGAACTGCAGGTCAGCAAGAGTAGCACGCAAAGTGTCGTGCCACTCACGAGGCGCCTGGCGCAGGCCGTAGACTGGCCGCCGCAGAAGCCACTGGGTCCCAGGGGGGAAGGTGCCAGTAAAGCCCTGAGGGCGACGCAGGTAGACCTGCTCGTGAAGGCTGCCCTGAAGAAAGGCAGTGGAGAAGTCGAGGGAGTGAAGCTCGTAGTCACGCTGAGCCGCTACGTGTAGCAGCACCCGAAGAGTAGTCATCTTCGGGGTAGGAGCGAAAGTCTGAAAGAAGTCCACCCCCTCGCGCTGACTGAAGCCTCTAGCCACGTAGCGCGCCTTGAACACAGGCGGCTCTCCAGGAGGGCGCTTCACCTTGAAGAGCCAACGGCCATCGACCACGTTCACCCCAGGTGGGGGAACTGCGTCGACGAAGGTGCCGGTGGATCTCCAAGATGCCATCTCCTGCTCCATGGCAGCTATCCACTGAGAGGCCCAGGGTCCCGAAACCGCCTCAGCGTAAGTACGAGGGGTCGGGATGTCGAAAGCGTCTGGGTCACCCTCAGGGACTAGCAGCATGGAACAGAGATGGGGAGCAGCCTCGGACAGGAAAGCAAGCTCAAACTGGCGGTCCTCCAGGACGTCACTGCCGAGGGCAGGAGCACCCCCGACAGACGGAGGACAGGCAGGGTGAGAGACCAGAGCGGTGGCGTAGTCAAGGCGGCGGGTAGAGGCGAAGTCAGCGACCGCAGCGACGAGGGCGTCAAGACTCGACACGGGAACAGACGGGTCGGTAACGAGAGAGGCAAGGACCCGAGGAACAAGAGGACGAGCGGCACGAAAGGAGTCGGACAGAGGAGGAGACGCAACGACAAGAGAAGACGGAGGAGGAGACGGGAGGAGGGGAGGTCGAGACGCGTGGGAACGGAGCAACATAGGGTGAGAGCGCGGGACAGGGGAGACAGGACGAGCACGAGAGGGGCGGCGAGACCAGACGTGTGAGGGCGGCGTCGGGTCAGGAGACAGAGGAGGGGACACAGGAGGGGAACGAGGGGGAAGACGAGCCGGGGACGAGTCTGGCAGAGGGAACACGGGGCCGTAGACGGGAAGAGGGGGAGACGGCAGGAGAGGAACAGGCGCAGGGTCAGGAGACGGAAGGCCGAGCAGACGGAGGGCGGACACAGGCGGGGACTGCTGCTGCGGCGACACAACACCAACACCAGGGCCACAAGCTGCGCGACGGCTACCTCCCGAACCCTCCACACCTGCACCCCCAGAAGGGACACCCCCAGAGTCCACAAACGGCGGCAGCGACGACAGCGGCGGCGGCGGCGGCGGCTGCAGCGACGGCTGCGACGGCGGCGGCGGCGGAGACGACGGCTGCAACGGCGGCGGCGGTGGAGACGACGGCTGCAGCAGCTGCGGCGACGGCGGCTGCGGAGGCGGTGGAGGAGGAGACACCGGGGGAGGGACAGACGGCGAGGACTGCGCCGGAGGACTACCAGAGTTAGAAGACTCGTCGACCGGGACGACCGACGGGAGGGGGGTGACGTGAGACACACCAGAGGGGGCCGGACGGGGGGGCGGGGGGGGGGAGGGGCAGGGACCACCAGGGAGGGAGGAACCAGGAAAAGGGGGGGAGTAACCGGGGGACCACGGTGGGGAAAGCGGCGGTAGAAGGAGACGGACTCGTCAAAGGTGACGTCGCGAGAGTGAAAGAAGCGGTGAGACGGCGGGTGGTAGAAGTGCCAGTCGGACGCGTCAAGGGGGAAACCGAGGAAGACGCAGGGGAGGGTGCGGGCAGTGAGCTTGTCCGTGCCAGAGGCACGAACGTGAGCAAGGCAGCCCCAGACGCGGAACGCAGACGCGTCACCAGGGGACCCGGTCCACAGAAGGGTCGGCGAAACCTGCGGCCGCTGGGGGTGCGGCCACAGGTTAAGCTGGTGAGCGGCGTAGCGCACGGCGAACGGCCACAGAAAATGGGGTGCACCGGCGTGGATCATGGAGGTGCGAGCCACCTCCATGACCAAACCGATGCGTCGCTCAGCGACCCCATTCTGCTGCGGGGAGTCCGGCAGGGTAAACGTCTGGGTGATGCCCTCCGCACGACAGAAGCGACCAAGGACACCTGAGGCAAACTCGCCACCCCGGTCGGAGTGAAGGCGCAAGGCAGGGAGACCGCGGTGGACACGAGCAGAGACAAGCCAGGGGATGAGAACGTCAGGCACGTCGGCCTTCCGCTCCAGGGGGAAGACGGTGGTGTAGCGCGTGAAGTCGTCGACAAGCACTAGGAAGAAGCGCTCGCGACGCGGCCCATGGACCGGGGCTGGGCCCCAGACGTCCATGTGCAGAGTCTGCAGTGGTGCGGTGGTAGGGGGAAAAGAGGAGGAGTGAGGGGCACGGCGGAGCCGGCCCTCGACACAAGGCGTGCACGGTGGGGCGGGGGAGGAGGGAAACTCGGGGAACGAACCGGGGAGACCAAGGACGAGACCGTGCTGGGACATGTGACGCAGACGTGGGAGTGCAGGGTGACCAAGGCGGTGGTGCCAAAGGAGAGTCGGGTGAGTGAGGGACCGACAGGAGCAGGCGGCTGCAACCTGGGTGGACGCAACTACCGGGGGGGAAGACCCAGCCGGGGACGGCGCGGTGTCAAGTGTGAACAGGCCGGACACCGGGTCCCGGGGGAAAGTGGTAAGGGGGGCACCAGTGGCGGCCTCGGTACAGACAGCATACCGCTCGTGACCAGGGAACGTAGTGGTGACGCCAAGGTCCTGGAGGCAGCCGACACCAACTAGGTTCCTGGAGAACGAGGGGATATGCAGACCTGTGAGAGTGCCCGAAGGAACCGCCGGACAGGGAAGGGAGGTGGAACTGCGGGCAACGACGGGGCCACCGGAGGGGTCAGCAAGAGTAACTGCAGCGGGAACAGGCAGCGGCGTCAGCGTCGTGGAGTCGCGGAAGAAACACCGGGAGGCGCCAGAGTCCAAGGTGAAGGAAAGCGCAGCAGTCGCGCGAGGCAGCAGTGAAGCGGTGGAAGCACCAAGGCTAAGCAAAGCAGGAGATCCTACGCCTGACGCAGCAGGGGAGTCTACGCTAGGCACCGCTACACTAGGCAACACGGGGTAATAAGAGGGAAGCACACTAGAGTCATCAGCATACATCACATGCAAGGCCGCTACAATGGCATCCATGTCCAAGTCAAAAATCCTAACGCTACGCCTAAGCAAGCTGTGCCAGTCCGGGAGGTCGGGCGCCGGGCCAAAGCGCTGGCGGAACAGGTCGTCCAGGCGACGAAAACAGCGAGGAGTAGAATGACCGATCTTACCGCAAACGAAGCCGCGGCGAGGACCGGTCTGGATCTGGTACTGACAGGGCCCGCCTCCAGAACCACCACCCGGTGCACCACCACGCGCACGACCACCACCAGCTCCAGGCCACCCAGGTGGGAGAGTACTCGCCTGCCTCGTCTGCGGCGGCTGCTGCGGCTGCTGCGAAGGCTGCGGCTGCGGCGACTGCTGCTGCTGCGGCTGCTGCAACTGTGGAGGCAGCGGGGCAGCTGGACCGGGCAGGGTCCCCACGTCCGCACTGGCACCGGACGACCCGCCTCCACCACTACCCCCACCCGCA